AACGGTGGAAAAATCCAATACAAGACAGAGGTAAAAGATATAGAAAGTTAATACAACATAATTTTCCTAATAGAAGATGGTTTTCTGAAATTGCCTACATAGACAGACGCCATATAACTACTATAATTAGAATGAGAACTGGACACTGCGCGGTGGGGGAACACCTGGCCCGGATAGGGGTTAGGGACTCTCCTTTCTGCGAGTGCGGCGGGGTTGAGAACCTTAATCATATATTTTTCGAGTGCCCTATAACAAAGGTCCCGGGCGTGAATTTATACGTAAACTTTAGAAGTTTCGGACTTAACTTACCACTTTGTGTTGAAAATATTTTAAGCACCCCGAGTGCGGTGATCATACAAATGGTCATATGTTCTTTAGATTATAATAGGATAAAATTTTAAGTTAGGAGTCGAGGTTATTTTGTCTCAGATCTGACGAGCCTGGTCCCATGGTCCATCCTAGGCCAGGCACGCCCGTCCCAAGATCCATAGTGCTGTAATTTGTTTGTCCTTTTTTGTTTTTAGATGTGACAGTCTTGCCTGTTTGTCTGTGTTTTTTTTTGGGAGCTCTGAACCTGCCTACTAACTGACCTTATCTCCTTAACAGCTTTAAATGTCTCTTAAACAGAAACAGAAATCTGAAAAGTAAACTTCCCTAGGAGAACATTCTCGATTATCTGGGGCAGTTCGAAATAGTGCTGGAAAATTGCCTAGTAGCAGCGCCAACTTCAGAAGAAGAAGAAGAACTTATATATACTGTCCTAACCATTGACTACAATAAGGTTGTGAAAGATGTTTCATCCTGCAGTTTAAAGAAATCAACACATAGTACTTTTTGAGGTTAGAACATTGTAGTACATATAGCTGCTTGGCTCTAAATCCTTCCAAATTGTAAATAAGAGGTTTAGATATCAATGTTTACAGATTGAGACTACACTTTGTGCACAAACTAAACAACGTTTTCATCAAACTACACTATAGTGTTTACGTTGCTTTTAGTTTGTGGTCTGTTTTATTTACTTGAACCCGGCTAAGTGCTAAGTATGTAAATAGAGTTTGTTGTCATTTTTGATAAATGTTTTATCACGTTTTGATCGCTTACCATCTTACGTGATATATGGCATATCATTATTCCTTTATGATAAAGTAAATGATAATGAATAACACTTTAATCACAGAGTAATTAAAATATACCTACGGTAGCACCTGTATAAGTGTATCTTCTTAATTTATCAAAGAAACTTCCACAGGCTACTGTAATGCTTTTTACAAAATTTCTGGATTCCTCCTGCGTGAAACTGTTGCAGTCAAGCTCTGAAGAAACCAACAGGATGATTCTCGAAACGTCAGCAATTTCGACTCAGCAAAAACCGACGCAGGAGGAATCCACAAATTTTGTAAAAAGTATATCTTCTTAGTTTAACGCATCAGTATTTTCTGTTTACCCGTAGTGTAGTATTATGGTGCAGTATTAAAAAGATTAGTAATGCTTATTACGAGATTAGTAAAGCTGTTCCGATTCTTCAGTATCAGTGAGCGAAAAAGTTATTATTTTAAATGTGCATGATTTCATACAAAACGATTATCCGAATTATACTGGACACGAAACTGTAGACCAGTGTTCCCGAATGACTGGAGTTGGAAAGTCCACCTAGGAAGATAGTGGAACCTCCAAAATGGAGTTTGGCCGGGATGACAGTATTCCGTTAATAACTAGAAAACTTTTATGGACGCTTTAACAAATGATTTTGCCTAAAAACACAAATTATTAAACACTTGACAAGTATAAATTAGTACCAAAGAGAGCACAAAAAAATCTTTTATTTTGATGAATGAGAACATGAATTCGGATGTTTTTGAAGACTAATGAAGTGATCAAAAACCTTCCAGCTGAATCAGTATACTAGAAAACAAGAAATTATCGACTGGTTAACTGCCAAAAATATTCGAATTTGAAGATAATTTAACACAGGAAATTGAAAATTTATACAAACATCGTTTTATGAGATACGGCCTGAAAGTTATAACAGATGCGCATGCACACCGGCATGTCACTAAGAACTGACAAAATGCAGTTCAGAATGTCATTGAAGAGGAGCAAATGTGGGATCTTCTGGCTACTTGATCGATGAAACCATCGATGCGTTAATTATGACTTCAAGAGGAGATGACGAAGAATATGATTTTTTATAATGAGGTTTTATTACTCTTATTACTTGTTATTATTATTATTTACCTTCAAATCGAATTTTTCCACGTCTTCGTTTTTTTTCCTTTTTGGGATATCACATTATTTTCGCATATGTACTATTACATTCCAGTTTCCTTTGTTTTTGTGTGTGAAAGATCGCAAACGCACAATAAAACCAGCAGAAATGTTTATTGAACAAATAGTTTACGCGATCCACAAAATACATTTCGTCCAAGCCTAATTAGATTTAATTACGGTTCCCGCTGCGAGGGGGATACAAATCGGTTGCCGCTGCTCCCCCATTGCCAATGTTTGGCCAATAAGAGTTACGTAATAACGAAATTCACACTTCCGATTCGGTGATTCTGACTGCGCCAGCGAAACGTACGAGGCACATTATTACCACTGAGGGGAGAGGGAGGAACATTTCGACAAAATTTCCCCATTATGATTGGAGCATGTAGTAGTGGTGAAAAAAGTTGTAAGATAAACATAACTATTTGTTTTTGTTAATATCTAAACTAATTTTACCGCAACAGATTAAAATTATTAAGTCCAGTGGAGTTTCTTCAATAAGAATTAACGATCCTGTTAGAAAAAGTTCCTCTAAATGTACGAAACAAAATAAATGTATGCACCCTAGAGTTTAGTATACCTGTCCACCGCTTGGCCACTTCGATACTCTGAGTTAAATCCAATAGATTTTTATTTATGAGGACACCTATAGCCGATGGTTTACGGTACTCCAATAGAAGCAATTGAGGCATTTATAAGTAAAACAGTAGCAAAGTGTTGCCGTCACTACATAAATTCGGCACCATCTTCCTTATTTTAAAATAAATTATTGCGCGTTAATTTACCTGCTAGCCGTCTCTTCCCTTTTTAAAATAAAATCCACGTTTTTGTCAAAGTATATTTAATAATTTAGAAAAGGGGATGGAACATGTTTTATCTAGCAGCTTTCTGAAAATTTGGTGAAATAAGGTTTTTGAGGCTCCTCTATCAGTTTAGTCACAGATCACTTTGCGGTAGTACCTTAGCCGTATAAGAACTATTTATATGAAAGTACAAAAATTGTTGAAATTTTGTTTGTTTTTAATTTGTTTTGTTTGTTTGTTTGAATTAACTAATTAACGATAGTATAGTATGCAAGACGTGTGGTAAACTTTTTAAGTCACTCATTTATTAAATTGGAAAAACCAAAACTATTTGGACAGACCATCTGGCATGCAAGCCGTTTTTTAATAAGTATCCGATATTTCACAGGGTAATTTCTCAAGTATTTTTAAAGTAAAAAGTTATATAAAATGCTTAACTTTCGAGATACATAGAGTTTTCATAGCGTTTCCTAAACAACGCATGGTTTTTGAACATACGTGGTGGTTTTTGACATAAGAAACTTGAATTTGTTCTTAATTTATTATGTTGGATGCTATATACATATCTTTTCTCATTTTCAAGTGCTCATGATTTTTTTTTAATACAATTTGTTGTTAAAAAAATTAATGTTCCAATCATTTGTACTTGAAAACAAAACAAACTCGCTAAGAACTAAGAACTCTGAAGTATACTCCGGTATGTGCAAAGCATTCTACTAATCTTGCATGCTCATTATATATCGAACAGTCGTATAAATTAATTTTTATTTCAATAAGGCTAGGTACACCAAAAGGGTGACTTAATCTTTCGAAAATACACCATGTGATCTTTTAAACATTTACAAAATAGAGTTTCTTTTTCAAATCACATTAACTTTAAAGATATCCATAGATACTCTGTTGTGAATAATTCTTCAAATTTTGAAAATAGTAAACCACGACCCTAATTATTTTGTTGCAGAACATTATTATTATAAGGAACCTAATATAAACGAAGATTTAGATAAATCTATCAATTATGGAACGAAAAACTTATTTTTTATTCAAATTTAGGGCTTCGTAGACTGCAGTGACGATGCCTGGCCCTAAACAACAGAACTATTTAAAAACTGTTTGATAGGTACCGCTTAATTGCTTTTTTCTCGCTCCAAGAAATCTGCAAAATTTGCATTTCAAGAGAAATTAATACCATAGATATTTGTTCGGCTAGTGATTCGTAGATGGCACCATATAGTGTCTTACAAATAAACATTTTAAAAATATATTTTTTATTGCTATGCTGTACAATTCAAAAATGTATTTAAAATATATATCCTTGGATAAAACACTACTACTACTCGTTAAAACAATTTTGCTAATTTTGCTATGTCAAATTAAGGAGATATTTGTCACATTATCTTGCGGCACTCTGGATATTACTGCGTTTATTACAAATCAGATTTCGATGGTCAATTATTTTTATTGAAGATAACATAAAAGAAAAAAGTTATAAAATGGTAGAAAGTCACAACCCTTTGTGCAAGTAGTCCTAAAAAAAAATGTTTGGATCTTTTCAGTGGCATCCTTATAAGACTTGATTTTTTGGCCAACCTGCTTTATTCCATATTTCTAGTCGGGTGTCAATTTTGTTGCCTGTTAATAATATCAGGGAAGAATTTGGATCGCAAGTCAATTATTTTTTTTTATTGAACTCCGCAAAAAAAAAAGTTAGGTTTCTAAATGGCACAAGTGAACCTTACGCAAGAAGTGTGGTAAACCGCATTTGAGTCACGAGTTTATTTGGCACCAATGTGTTGCATTCTATACTTTTTGCTCGCAAACCCGTGCGGTAATATCCCAGAAATGTCAGAAGCCGTTCGGGTCCATGAAACAAGAAACTCATGTAGCAAAATAAGGCTTCCTAAATGCTAGATCCGTGTATAATTAGATATTTTACTGAAGGCAGTAGAAAATATTTTTAGCAATTTATTGTCACAAAAAATAGAAGATATATCACATGTTAAACAATTATATTAAATAATATACATAATATTTCCACCTGTTATTTATGTTACATAAATTGGTTCATAGGATCTTCTCCTCTTTTCCTCTTGAGATAATAAGCTTCCATTTCTTCGTCAGTAGGTTTCTTTACTTCAAACATGCTATTGTATGGTCTCTTTCTCTCATCTAACCTCAACAATGCGTCAGCTTTTCTCTGGTGCAACTCTTCTGCTTCAAGAGCTTCATCAAGCTTATCTCTATCTTTTTCTTTGCGTTTCTTCTCTTTTTTGTTCTTTCTCTTTTTCTTCTTTTCTGTCTTTGACCTAACATCATTTTCTTCTTCAGAAGAACTCGAGCTTTCACTAGGTTTGCCTTCATTAATGTTAGATAATTCTTTCGATTCTTTGAATTTATCTTCAATAACTGTGTCTCCAGAAGCTTTTCCTGCTTCACCAAGACAATATGAATTCTGTGAAAATAAATAATAGTTGAGTTAACAGAATATCCCAGCAATGAAATAATTTTTTAAATTGATATAACTAAATATATTGTAAATATGAAATACCCATTACCAAAAATGTTCATCTGCAACCTTTATAGTTTAATAATACAGATTTTTTAATAAAAACTGTTTAATATATTGTCACCATCTCTTGTCTCACTCAGTATTAAATTTACTCACCTTTACACAAGAGTGGCAACACCTGTAGCCCCACTGACCACCTCTCCAATATGAACCCCAAACACTTGTGTGATTGTTTATATAAACATCTTCCTCATATTTGGATCGAATTTCTTCCTTTTCTTGCCCCTTTATTACTTTACCTGATCGAGAATATTCTACATAATCCTCAGTTTGGGCCAGCAGTAATGTTTTTGGAGGAGCATCCAAGTGTTCTTCGCCACCATATTTGTCCAAAATACTTGACTGCACTTTCGTTTTAAACTGTTCTTTTTTCTTTTCATATTCCTTTTGCAAAAGTTCCAACTTTGTAGGTTCTGCTAGCAAATGTACATCAACACCTTTCCCGTGAGCTTCCCAAGCAAATAACTGTGCTTTGGCATGACCTTTAGTATCACCAGTAAAGCGCACAAAATTTTCACCTTGGTAACTATAAAATAAATAAAAAATCAATTGAAATGTTCAGTTATTGAATAATTAAAGACATATATTATAAATTATATTGAAAAAAATGAAAAATCAACTAAGCTTACGTCTCATCAACCCCTGGATTGGGATTTTCTCTCATCGATCTAGTTTTAGGATCATAATAGGCAGAATTTGGGTCCAAGTTCCTCAAATATTTTGCTGTATCTTCTCTTATACGCAAATTTCTCACAGTAATTCTTTGTTTGCTATCGACTTTTGTACCAGGCATGTCCACCTCATCTACATATTTGTCTTCATCCTGATCTTCACCTTCATCTGATTGATTTGCATCCAGTTTTTCTGCTTTTAATTGCCTTTTTGCTTCCTCCACTTTTTGAAATTCTTCCAAAACTGACTTGTGCTCGCCAGGATCATAACCACTCCATCTGTCCCGTTTTCCATCAAAACTTAAAGCCAAATTTTTTTGTACAAACTCGTCAGGTAACATATTTGTACCAGAATATTTGGCACCTACTTTTCTAGGACGATCCATGCAATCCTTTTTTTTATGAGTCAAAGCGCCACAATTTTCACATGCACCTTTTCGATACTTTGTTACAATTTTCGTTGTATCCAAACCTCTCTTATACCATTCATCAATTCCAGAATACTGCCTTTGTTTCTCTTCTTGGGGCCTCTGGTGTTTTAAGGTAGGCCCAGTAGTACCATAATACCAAGGCGCGTTTGATATGTACTGAGGAATGTGGGGATTTATATCTTTACCTTCTTCATCTACAGCAGCGGGAGCAGTTCCAGCTTTTCTGGCTTCCTCTAATTCTTTCGCCTTCCGCCAATCTTCTCTGGATTTCTTTTTCGGTTCGTCATCTAGCTCACTTTTAGTTTTAAGAATCTGGGAAACTGGCAGGTTCTGAGTCGAACTTGACATCACAAATTTAGATTAAATGCTCAATACTTTTGATAAACAAGAACTTTTTATAAAAGAAGTTGACAAATGACATTCACAATAATCACGCAATAAGCACAGGCACAAAATACTAACCCTATAAGTGGTCTGTTGCACTTCTTCCTTATTTAAATGTTTTATTGACAGAGGTTGAGCAAAATTATTAAGTTCAGTCGCCCTTTGCCGGCATAGTTCGAAAATTATTCGTTACTATCAAATTTTATCAATTACATATGCTACGCTTTTAACATGACATTTGTATCAATGTGTAGGCAAATATTAAAAAGTTTATAAAAAAACTATTTCTCCCAGTTTAGTGCAACCGCTTACTGCTAGTATGACGTCATCTTGCCCACTCTAGAGAGATTTCATACATTATTTGTAAAGGGGAATAACCATATCGCTTAGCTATTCAATGCTGTTATTTTGACATTTTGCGGTCGACTAGAATCTATCGCTAGGAGAAGTAACTGTCCTTTACAGTTCTTGGACTGCACAACGATTAATATAAGATATTTATCTATGGACTGCAGACAAATTCTTTTGAGCGTGCACAATATTATTAAAAAGATCATGACTCAATAAGTTTACCTTCCAATTTTTTTTATGCATTTATACGTTTATACAGATAAATTTGATAATTTTACCTGTTCGCTTAAACTTTGTTGAAAAATTTGGCAATGACATATAATGAAAAATATACGCCATAAAAGTTGTTTCTTTTCATTACAAAATTTGAAAGATTTTTCCGCCGTTTTATTGAGCTGCAAACTTTTTTTAAATAGGCAATCGATCTATAACATTATTTATTTCGGCTCGAGTGGAGAACGGGTACTTGATAAACTAGCAACTGAAGAAGTTTATCATGTTGCATACTACGCTTTTCCTTTGACTATTAATTATTGGGTATATTCGCTGAGTGACGTGTAATGTGACCGCCAGAACTGGCCAAAGTGAAAATGCCATGGCTAAAATCTCCCGACTAGAGTACCGGAAACAACCGAAGTGACACTTTTCGCATGCTTGATGAATTTTATTATTATATAAATATTAGAGTAAGGAAAGAAGAAAAGCCTATATGACGAATTTCTGGTAACAAATTTAAATACTCTGAATCTACACCGCTTAGGAACTATCTAAATATTTTTGTCATATAGCTGCTCTGTGTCACTGAACCCATTGCTTTATGTTGTATTGGAATAATAATAATAATAATAATCATAATAATAATAATAATAATAATAATAATAATAATAATAATAATAATAATAATAATCCCCTCAGGGGCTCACACTTGTGAGTACGGGCCTGGCGGTCCCGAGGTGCCCTAGCTGGATTCTTACCTTGTTTCAACTAGTCATGGGTGAGATCCTCCTCTTCTTCTTTCTTCTATCCTATCGGCCTCCCCTGGGCTAACTCTTGTTGTCTTCTGACCCCGATGCTATTAGGTTCCGAGGGCTAGGGGTCTCTCTCTTTTCACAGCTATTCCTTCCTAGACTAACCAAAACAAACGACCCGGCGACGAACCTGGGCTACGAAAGGACACCTTAAACCAACCCTAAAAAAAACATGTGTGATAAAAAACGAAATACTTACCCCAGGTGAGTAATAATCTCACCGCCGATTCCGATCGGGTGAAAGCCCCGGTGGTCGGCGCCGGTCCCAGGGATTCTGGGGGGGACCAATCACACGTATCCAAAGGCGAGCGAAGGAGCTCAGCAGGAGCAGAAGAGGCCAAAAGACTGCTGACTGATAAAGATAATAGAGCAGCCTACAACTGGGAAGTTGTAGACGACCTGACAGTAAGGCGGTTCTCTCTACAGAGAACGCCAACAAAAGGCATGAAAATTCCACTTTTTGTAGAAGCAGATAATGTCTTTCTCACACCAAATAACGAAACAGACACCAAGAGGACACGAAAATCGAGCGAAGTATCGGTCGATGTGGTGCGTCAGCCGCCGAGCGCCCCTCGACCGTCATCCTACGATCCGCGGCAAACCCAGCCTCCGGTTGACCACTTGGCCGGAGGACTCACTGGGAAAGCGCCAAGTGACAGACAGACTCTGACGTTACCAACGCCACGAGGACGTTCGGACAGCGTCGTGAGTCTTGTTAGCAATCTGAGCGACGCTGCCTCGACTGGAACACCATCGCTGCACCTCAAATTAGGGGCAGCAGTTACCAGAATGGACAGCGAGCTCAGAACAATCAAAGGCCAGTTCAAGGTGCAGAAAAACGTCTCGAACTTCATCAAGGAGGCAATAAACCGCTTAATTGACATCTCGAAAGAGATGCACAAGATCCGAGACGCCCTGGCAAATGAGAATACGAAAACCCGCCCCCTAGGTGGAAAGTGAGCAAGGAGTCTGGAAAGTCGCCGGAGGAAAAAAAGAAGGCTCAGAAAATACCGAAGAAGAGGCAAATCGTGGTCTCTCAGGCTCCCGAGTCCGGGCCAAGCGCGGCAGTTACTGACACTGGTCCAGTAGCCGAAGCTTGGCAGAACCGGACGGCAAATAAAAAGAAGAAAAAACAAAGGAAAGACCGACGCAGAGGCCCCCCTCTGAGCGGAACCGCACAACCCCGAAGCCAAAGGGAGGTACGGTTCTGATCAAACCGAACGAGGGGAATTCATACGCGGGCATAATAAGACTGATGAGAGGAATGGACTGCACTGACCTCGAGCTGAGAACCATCGCAAAAACAAAGGACGGATCAGTACTAATACGAACGAGGTCGACTGGACAAGACAGTACAGTAACGGACTTCAGCAAAAGAGTGCGGAAAGCGCTGGGCTCTCAGGGAACGCTGAAAGACCTGACACCCAAAGTGACGTTAGACATTTTGCATCTGGACTGTCTCACAGAGAAGAAAGACGTGACCGACGCTCTTGACAAAGAACTCGGCAAGACAGGAGATCGCCAAATCTCTGTTTTTGGGCCCAATACCCGAATGCAGAGGATGGCAATCTGGCAAGTGACCAGTACAGACGCGACAAAACTACTGGAAAAAGGACGGATACGGATCGGACTGATAAACTGCCGAATTAGACCGCGGGTCATGGTTCAGAGATGCTTCAAGTGTCTCGGCTAAGGCCACCCGCGGAAGGACTGCACTGGACCCGACCGACAGAAGAGCTGCTGGAAGTGTGGAGAGCCGGAGCATGCAGCTAGGGCATGCTCGCTATCGGGGCCCTGCTTCCTTTGCGTCGAAAAAGGCGTGAAGGATGTTGGCCACGTGCCGGGCACTGCCCGGTGCTCCGTATTTTCAGCGGCTTTGACGGAGGCAAAGAGAACGAAGACAAGATGACGACTGTACTACAGGGCAATCTGAATGGCAGTGGTTTGGCTGATCAGCTGCTGCCTCAGATACTGAGTGAACCATACAGACGAAAAGACGCACCGACATGGCTCTACAGTGACTCCGGCTCCGCGGCACTGTGGATTCGGCGGAACGTAGGCATTCAGAAAAAAGGGAAGGGTTTAGATTACGTGTGGGCCATAGTAGCCAATGTTACATACGTCAGTGTGTATCTTACCCCGAATTGCACCGCCGCGGAATTCGAGAACAAAGGACGCGATAGAGGGACTCACCGGTGAGCTAATCATCGCTGGAGATTTTAATTGCAGGGCTATCGAGTGGGGAATGACCACGACGTACAAACGCGGACGGCTACTGCTGGAAATCGCTGCGAGGCTAGATCTAGCTTTAGTGAACGAAGGACACGTGACGACCTACAGGAGACCGGGTTTCGGAGAATCCATCCCAGACGTGACATTCGCGTCGACGAGACTGGTCCCGAGAGTGGAGCGATGGCGAGCCAGCGACCACCAGTATATCGTCTTTACCATCGGGACGACGCCACGGTCACAGGGACGGACCCAAATTAGACCATTAGGGTGGAATGTCCGGAAACTAGACCACGACAAACTGTTGAGACATATAAGAAACGAGCCTGATCCAGCCACGGGTCTTTCCGGGGCCATCGCGGGGAGGAGGGATACGGAGCAGTTGGTTGAAGCAACGACGGGTCTCTTGAGAAGGCTCTGCAACGCTTTCATGCCAAGGAAGCAGACGCCACGGGACAAAGGACCCAAATACTGGTGGACAGACGAAATCGTTCGCCTACGAAGCGAATGTCGCCGACTCAGACGAAGGGCACAACGCACCCAGCGCAGGTCGGAAGGCGTGGGGCCTTCCGACGAATACAAACAAATGCGCAAAAGACTGAGACGGGAAATCAACAGGACGTGATCGACCAGGTGGACCGGGACCCCTGGGGACTGGGTTATAAGATTGTAACTCAGAAACTGGGTATGAACGAGCCACCTGTGGTCAAAGACGAACAGACCATGGACAGAATTGTTGACGGACTGTTCCCGACACATCCTGAAGAGGAGTGGCCGGAAGACGATGACGAAGACGAAGCGGGGCCAGAATGCACGGGAGTGGAACTCGGCGAGGCGGTTTCTCGTCTAGCGGCAAAAAAGGCCTCCGGCCCTGATGGCATCCCAGCAGAAGTGCTGCGCGTAGTAACCAGAGAACGCCCAAAGTGGCTTCTCACCCTGTACAATACATGCCTGCGGGTGGGCCTGTTTAGCAAAGAATGGAAGAAGGCACGATTGGTCCTCAAAAAGGTGGGGACCCCGATTCGCCATCTAACACGCTGGGCAAGCTGTTCGAGCTGCTATTCCGGCCTCGAATCCAAAGGCAGTACAGGATGCCGGTGGCCTGCACGACAGGCAATACTGCTTCAGGAAGGGCCGATCGACCATAGACGCGATATGGAACGTGGTGGACGCTTTCGACAGAGCACAGACAAAGCCCCACAAAGACAGGCCAATAGTGCTCTTGGCAACACTCGACGTACGAAACGCCTTCAATTCGGCGAGGTGGAAGGACATCGTGGGGGAGCTAACAACTAGCTTCAGGTTGCCTCCATACCTCCGCCGCATTATGAAGGACTACATGCGGGACCGTACACTTACGTACCAAACGGAGACAGGCACAAGGACGAGACGACTTACGGCTGGAATGGCGCAGGGTTCGATCTTGGGCCCGGACTTGCGGAATATTGACTATGACGGGATCCTGAGAATCCCGATGGCACCGGGAGTGCACCTAGTAGCATACGCGGACGATGTCGTGATCGTGATAGTTGCACGGGACGGTCGTTGGGCGCAGCTCCGGCTGAATCGAGCTCTAGGACAGATTACAGACTGGTTACGGGGACGAGGGCTAGACCTAGCCATACAGAAGACCGAACTGACGTACCTGACACGAAAGCACATTGACACGAATGTGCAAATAACAGTAGGCGGGACCCAGAGGGCGACCAGAGGCGAGGTCAGGTATCTCGGTGTCTACCTGGATACGAGGCTGACGTTCTGGTCGCACATCAGGCGCGCCATAAACAAGGCAGCTTCAAAAACTGCAGCACTCAGTCGCCTTATGGCAAACACGAGGGGACCAAAACAGAAGACGCGACAACTACTGATGACAGTAACCCACTCGATTCTCCTGTACGGAGCCGAGATACGAACGCCACGTGGCACAGACACGCCTTCTAGCTGGAAGTAATGTGAACAACAGTTCCCAGCTAGGTGGTGAAGACGAAGGGTTTGCTGGGTTTAGCCGGTAAGAATCCGGCACTCCCGACGGGTGCGCATCCCCGTCGGGGTCTTCCCATTATGTGGGACAGTCAGCACGCTAGAGCTGGTGTTTGGCTGATGTAAGATTCCCAGCGTTATCCCTCGGAAAAAAAAAATAATAATAATAACCCGTGACTGAAGCTGAACTGCTATCGGGGGCCGCCCCTGGCGATGGGGTACGCTCGTCAGTTTTTGGACTGAAGAGTATCGGGGAAATAAAATACCCGAGGTGGACAAAAATCAGCACACCGCGAGTTGTGGTAGCAGCTCAACTCGCGTGAACCGCGATCGCTGGCAGAACAAGGCGTAACAGGTACTCGGGAGTGGCAGAGGACCAGACTACCTCTGTTCGGAAGCATCCTGAAGACCCCCAGTCGGGCGCAGGCCCCAGTGGAACGGGTGGCACTGACTTGCGAATGGAATCCACCAACACAAGCAACAGGAACGACCGAAACAACTCCCTTTAAGAACAAGTTCCGACCCCGCTAAATGTTGAAGACACTCAGCGTCTTCCCATGATCGGGGACAATATTAGGATTTAAATGGTCAGACGACATGAATACTTACCTTTATCGTACCTATCTACGCATAACCGAAATGGAGACCAATAAGAACCCATACGGCCACAGACTACATGAAGCAATGCTTCAAAGATTTCCCGCTCTACAGGGAAAAACCATCCAGAACATCCTAGACCAAAGAAGACAACTATTTGTAAAACACCGGCTTAAACCTGAAGTGATTCAAACTATGAGAAAACAGGTGGCTCTAGAGCTGGAGTGGACAGTCGTTGTCGCAGCGGATGCTACAACCGAACAACGGGATGATACCTCAGGGAATGCCGCTCAGCTTGTCAACCCTTCTGACCAGTCTGCACATGAGACCCTTCAGGAATGTCTTGAAAGGTACGCTGGCCTGGACCAGCTTAGTAGACCTAGGATACCCAGACTAAGAACAAATCGGGACACCAAGAACATACTTAAATCAATGAACAACGTACTGTCTTTAAAAATTAATAACTGTCATGACCTCACTGTTGTTCATGATCTGGTGTACTCCGCCGTTGTGGCAACCATCCTGCTGAAATTCTCTTCCTCTAGCACTAACTCACCAAAAAAAAACGCTTAAACTCCCCCCATAGCAGAGAAGACTGGAGGACAAAATTGCGACTTTGAGAAGAGAGATCGGTATATTCACTGAAACGCTTGAACCCAGAAAACCAAGTAAACGGGTCAAAAAGCATGCCGATAACGTGCAAAAAAAATACGGAGACTCTGGAAACCATACTGTGGATACTGTGGATCTGCTAAAGCAGAAACTGCGGGTATATGTAAATAGACTGCGCAGATACAAGCAATCATGGCATAGAAGAGTGGATAATAACCTCTTTAACCGGAGCCCTGGTGCTTTTTACAGAAACTTGGCGCCATCAACCACCGACGACAAGGGCCAATACCCGGAACCAGAAAGTATCAGGGAATTTTGGAGAGGCATCTGGCAGGTCCTTTTCAATCACAAAGTTTCGGCTGAGTGGATAAAGTGCGAACAAAAGAAGACCGAAAGAATAAAACTCATGCTGCCTCAAGTGATCGTCGTAGAGGACCTAAATGAAGTCCTGGCGAAAGCTAAAAACTGGAAAGCCCCCGGACCGGATGGGATACAGAACTTTTGGTACAAGAAATTCACCGCTGTAAGGTCCAAACTTGCTGACATCTTGAGCCTGATACTGGATAACCCTCAGTCTGCGCCATCCTTTCTGACGAAAGGGATGACCTACCTTCTCCCAAAGACAGATTACCCAATTAAAGATCCCTCAAAATACAGACCCATAACGTGCCTGCCCACGATATACAAAATTCTCAATGGAATAATAGCTAACAAACTATACCAACACATGGATGATAACAATTTTTTGTCTGAAGAGCAGAAGGGGTGCAGGCGGCATGCACAGGGGTGTAAGGAACAACTTGCAATTGACAACGTTGTCACCCGCAACGCAATAGCTTACTGCATATATTGATTATCAGAAGGCATTTGATAGTGTTCTGCACACTTGGCCGCTACAGTGCCTCTCTGTCTATAAAGTCGACCCCAAAATCATCAACTTTCTCACGCATGTTATGGACCAGTGGGAGACGCAAATAATTCCGAGAGACCAGGGGGCGCCGGTCAGCATAAAAATCCAACGAGGTATTTTCCAGGGCGATGCTCTGAGTGCCCTCTGGTTCTGCATAGCGTTAAACCCACTCTCCTCCGCTCTCAATAATCTCAAACAAGGATATCCACTTAATAAAGAACTTAAGCTCTCCCACTTAATGTACATGGAGGACCTCAAGATATTCTCGGACACCGAGAAGGGACTAAACCGGCAGCTCAGATGCATCGAGAACTTTTCAAATGATATTCGAATGAGGTTCGGTCTGGAGAAGTGTAAAGTTAGCAGACTTCATAGAAGAGAGTGGCGTCGGATGGACGGCCATCAGCTTACACAACATAGTGGTGGTGGAAAAATAACGACGCTGGATAAAGCTGAAATCTATAAATACCTAGGTCTTGCCCAGGCGCGAGGAATAGATTCTAAAAGTGTCAAGACGCTGCTCACCGAGAGATTTAAAGAGAGAGTCAAGCACATCTTAAAAACAAGATTGGTAGGCCGTAACATGGCGACTGCAATCAATTCCTACGCCGTCCCTGCAGTGACGTACAGCTTCGGCATCGTCGATTGGACGCCGACAAGGACAACCCTAACTAAATTCTGCGCTCACCACCCACGAGCTGGCAGAGAGAGGGTACATCTACCTCGAAACATCGGAGGCAGGGGATTCTCGGATTTGCGAATATGCCACAAGACCCAGGTGGAGCGGCAGCAGAAATACTTCCATAAAAAAAGCGAGAGCTCAGCGCTCCACCGAGCAGTGACAGGTCTAGATAGATCACTTACACCCCTCATGTTGCAGGTCACACACTATCAGTGCGACCCTAGGTATTCAATTTTCGAGCTCGAGACCCAGTGGCGGGGAAAGGAACTACACGGCAGATACCCAAACTTGCTTGACAGTGCTGACCTTAACAAGCCCGCATCAGTTGGCTGGCTAACGAACGGCAACCTTTTCCCCGAGACTGAGGGTTTCATGTGTGCAATTCAGGATCAGGTCATACCCACTCGGTCTTATCTTAAACACATAATCAAGGACCCGACAGTAACTACAACGAATTGTCGCATATGTGGAGAGGGCCATGAGAATGTTGAGCACCTCATCAGTGGTTGCCGAATACTGGCCCCGAAGGAGTACACTACAAGACACGACAACGTAGCCAAGATAGTCCATCAGGAAATAGCCTTCAACCTTAAACTTCTAAAAGAGAAGTGTCCGTACTACTGATACTCACCAGAATCCGTGCTTGAAAATGAGGGATTTAGGATATATTGGGGCAGAACTGTTCAGACCGATCGCACTGTCCAGCATAACAGGCCAGATATTCTTATTTATGACAAGGCAAATAAGGTGGTGACCCTCGTCGACGTTGCAATTCCCGCACCTAACAACTTGCAGAAGAAAGAACGTGAAAAAAGAGAAAAATACATACCGTTAGCGGATGACATAAAACAGACATGGCATGTCGATAGGGTTAACATTGTTCCTATAGTGATCGGTGCAATGGGAGAAATTCCAAAGTCCCTCAGAACCAACCTGACAACACTCACCGTAAAACCAGGCGCCTACTTTGAAATGCAGAAGTCTGTGGTACTAGCTACCTGCAACATAATTAGAAGAGTTCTTAATCAACCTCAACTTCAATAGCGCACATTTCATGTTTTGCTACTCACCTAGCCGACATGGGAGGACTCCATCTTCCGATGAGAAAAAAAAATAAAAATAAAAATAATAATAATAATAATAATAGAGAGAGAGAGGGTACATCTACCTCGAAACATCGGAGGCAGGGGATTCTCGGATTTGCGAATATGCCACAAGACCCAGGTGGAGCGGCTGCAGAAATACTTCCATCAAAAAAGCGAGAGCTCAGCGCTCCACCGAGCAGTGACAGGTCTAGATAGATCACTTACACCCCTCATGTTGCAGGTCACACACTGTCAGTGCGACCCTAAGTATTCAATTTTCGAGCTCGAGAACCAGTGGCGGGGAACGGAACTACACGGCAGATACCCAAACTTGCTTGATAGTGCTGACCTTGACAAACCCGCATCAGTTGGCTGGCTAACGAACGGCAACCTTTTCCCCGAGACTGAGGGTTTCATGTGTGCAATTCAGGATCAGGTCACACCCACTCGGTCTTATCTTAAACACATAATCAAGGACCCGACAGTAACAACAACGAATTGTGGCATATGTGGAGAGAGCCATGAGAATGTTGAGCACCTCATCAGTGGGTGCCGGATACTGGCCCCGAAGGAGTACATCACAAGACACGACAACGTAGCCAAGATAGTCCATCAGGAAATAGCCATCAACCTTAAACTTCTAAAAGAGAAGTGTCCGTACTACTGATACTCACCAGAATCCGTGCTTGAAAATGAGGGATTTAGGATATATTAGGACAGAACTGTCCAGACCGATCGCACTGTCCAGCATAACAGGCCAGATATTCTTATTTAGGACAAGGCAAATAAGGTGGTGACCCTCGTCGACGTTGCAATTCCCGCACCTAACAACTTACAGAAGAAAGAACGTGAAAAGAGAGAAAAATACATATCGTTAGCGGATGACATAAAACAGACATGGCGTGTCGATAGGGTTAACATTGTTCCTATAGTGATCGGTGCAATGGGAGAAATACCAAAGTCCCTCAGAACCAACCTGACATTACTCACCGTAAAACCAGGCGCCTACTTTGAAATGCAGAAGTCTGTGGTACTAGCTACCTGCAACATAATTAGAAGAGTTCTTAATCAACCTCAACTTCAATAGCGCACATTTCATGTTTTGCTACTCACCTAGCCGACATGAGAGGACTCCATCTTCCAATGAGAAAAATTTTTTAATAATAATAATAATAATAATAATAATAATAACAATAATAATATTAATAATAATAATAATAATAATAATAATAATAATAATGGAGAATACTACAAGCCTCGGAAAAATGCCGCTGCCTGGGGAGCGCCAGGGCGTATCTGGTGTCGACGCTGGATATGACAGCATACAATCCATCGGTGGCAGGGTGCTGAGGAGGCGGGCCCCTGTCGAACAACAAACTAAAGCCCGACAACAACAAGAAGTGGAACACGACGATATGGCAGAAGAAAGTAATGCCACTCTACCTGCTGGCTTGTCCGCCATAAGGAGGACTGTCCGTAGGAGAGGCCACACTGGACGTATACAATGGAGCCGCGAACTGAACTACGACGTTATGCGCGCATTCTACTATGTCAACCGGTGTGTTGATAACCCACTTCCAGGATGCAGACACTCACTCCATGCCGAATTCTCTAAACGACACCCGGAACTACAACTAACAGAACAAAACTTAGCTGACAGGAAAAATGTCATCATAAGAAAATCATACCTTACAAAAGTAGAGTTAGAGATTATTAGACGCGAGATTGGCAACATCATCATCAGGAAGAGGTCCTTCCGAACAACATTCAGGAACACCAGACGGAACTAATGCACATGTCGGATGAAGACAAGAAACCCCAAGCAAACCTAAAATATCGACAAATACCGGATAAATTTAATAGCCTTTTGTCTTACTATGAAGCTACTGACCCTCTAATTCGTCCAGTAATACCTATACTCAGGAAAATTGACAAGGCTAAGGAGAACATAGCCTTAACCAACGCAGCAGTGGGCGAATATCTGTCTTCACCTCGCACTCTGGGGGAAACCCGCCTGGCAATATACTGTGCAGCTATCACTGTCATCGAGCTGAACGCACAAAGGATGTACGTACCAACAACTAGAGCCCAAATTAATAATAAACCACCAGCTTGGCGAAAGCGACTAGAATTGGATATAGACAGACTCAGAGGAAAAGCTGATATAATAGATGAATACTTAAAAAATAATCAATCTAAAAAAGTCACTAAGAAAATTGCAGTCATTTCCAACGCAGCTGGGATAAACCTTCGCTCAGCACAACATCAACAAAGACTTTTACAACTGAAAGACCGATTTAGGCAACAAGCAAAGGCCAAGGGTGCCAGACTTCGAAGATATAATGAGCTCTCTAAAAGAAAAAAACAGAACTCCGAATTTACATCGAATCGGAAATAAATTCTTTAGGAAACTGGAGAGCAAAGAAAAAGACAAAAAAGAAACACAAAAGCATAAACCAGACCTTCACGCGTTTGGCGATTACTGGAGAGATATCTGGTCATAACCAAAGCAGTTCAGAGGGGACGCTGACTGGATAGCTGAAATTGAACAACACGCACTGACAATTAATGATATGACTTTGGATCATATAACAGCCGAAGATATTGCTTCCACTATAGGAAAGACCAGTAACTGGAAATCTCCGGGATCGGACAGACTGCATAACTTCTGGATAGAATATTTTCCGGCATAGACAAAGAAAAGAAAAATGCCCTCATAATTGATATCGCTGTTCCACTCTCCCACAATATCAGTAAAACTGAAACAGAAAAAATACGAAAATTTGGCGGTGGAACTGAAAAATATTTGGCAGCTCAATAAAGTGTTTATCTACCCATTTGTAATTTCGGCGGAGGGAATTGTCTCCAAAAACTTCTCCAAAAATTTAAAAGACATCGGACTTCCACCGAACATCGTGGAATACGGACAGAAGGCTGTCATACTACAGACATGCCACATTGTTCGTAAGTTTCTGAATTGAGTGGGAGGAATTGAACTGTTTTCTCGCCAGTTCAGAGAGCCCGCAGCAAGCAAAGCCTCGGGTGAAAACAAACCAGTGAGAGTTGAGATGTAATCGTATAATAATAATAATAATAATAATAAGATACTTTGTTCAGGTAACTTCGACAAGTAAAATTACAAGAAAAGGCAAGAGTGCAGCGCCCAAACGTATCTGCTTGCTGATTCCTACACTTATCCTTACACATAACATCACACCATGGTTTTAATTAATGTTTGCAATTGCTTTAAGTACCCACTGAATTATATAACAGAAAGAAAAACCTAAATCTACCTCTGTAAATAAAAAAAACTATTAACTAAAGTCGAGGCTAAAGTACTGTAAGTACCACAAATTTTTAAAGAATTCTAGTAGTGTACATTGGTTTGGTTCTTCCTGCGATCTACGATGTTTTTTCCATTTTTTTTTCTCTTTAAATTCTAGAGCATAACCACGTTTTTAGTTTATTTGGAAAAGAATTTATTGTCGCATTCTGAACGGAATGGGGCACGTCATTATATAGTTTAGCCAAGTCGTAACTGAATGATCTTTCAAATATACCAGATCGGTGACGAGGAACTATGACCCCTTTAAATCTTAGATTTAAGTTATTCACGTCTAAGCTATTATCTTGATTCGGGTTTAAAGGCCGTCGTCGATTGGAATTACTTCCTAACGTTTCGCTAGCACGAGTGGCGAGCTTCTTCAATTCAATTCAATTCCAATCGATGACGGCCTTTAAACCCGAATCAAGATAATAGCTTATCAACGGGCCGCGAAAGCCTTAACCAATTTATTATTCACGTCTGTTCTGAAAGTTATTTTTTCGGAGAGGTATTCGGGATATTTTGTCTTAATTATTTTGAAATAAAGACAATAGCGATGGATCAAGCGTCTTCATGTTCGTCCAACCCGCTTCCTTCAGCTTGTAGCTGATAGGTCTTCTGCGGCGGATGCCGTAAATAAACGACAAGCAGCATTTTTGAATTTTTTCAATACGTTGTGACGAATTAGCTGTCAAACAAGGCTCATATACGACATCACAGTGATTAAACACGGAGAGAACAAGAGCATCGCGCAACCTTTTTAAACGGTCAATAGCCCTTTGCGTAAATCGAGATATGCTTTTCAAAACGAGGTTTTGTATCTAAAAGTAACCCCAATTTTTTTGCTTAGTTTTGAAGTGGAAGAGTAATATTGTTTATTTTTATGATTACTTCAGAAGCAAGACGCTTAACATCCACCGGCCGACCAAAAACATTACAGAAGATTTTTTTGGGTTTAAAAGCAAACCGTGATCTTTAGAAATTCTGTCAATTCGTTCAAGGTCACTGTTTATATTTTGGCACTCAAGCTGCAACCTAGAGGGGTCAAAAACGTGGTAGAGCTGCTTGTCTAATCTAAGAATTTTGTTGTGAAAATAATAAACGGAACAGAAGCTAAAATTGAGCCTTGAGGAACTCCACTTCTTATGTCTAGGCAAGCAGACTCGACCCCGTTCAGGACCACCTTTTGCTTTCTCCCTATCAAGTAGTTTTTAATTAAATTTACGGGTGTCTCCCCAAAACCTAAGTATTTAAGAATAGTGAGCAGAATATTGTGACTAATGGTATCAATCGTCTATACAAACAATAAAAATAATTGAACGGATCTGGAACTTTGCAAAAATCCAGCATATGAGAACGGCGGTCTTATAAAACTATTTAGTAAAGTATTATTGTGTACACTCATTAAATCTGTATTTCTTCTGTATTAGTTCTGGATGTTGGACCTTTCCCTACAGTGAGAGTACAGTCGGCAGTCGACTTTCGCCAGTAGTTTCCCTGAAGAAAGCCTCTAGTCCTCAATCTAAATCTTGTAGCAAATTGCGTATCCATTTGCATATAATGTATTCAATCTCTGGGGTTCATAGAGAAATTCGGGAGCGCATTAAATGTTGCTTCGATATCTGGAGATAAAAAAATCAATTCGATCCCTTTCTATCCCAGATATTCGCTTATTATTGCGACTAGGCTATTCAATTCTCGTTCTCCTAATTTATCTGATACATAACGTCATTGTCATTTTTAATATTAGCTTTTTCTTTTTTAGAGGTCTTCCAAAATATAAAACCACTTTACATATACGCACCACCTTCTTTGGCGAACTGCAAAATGCTAAGTTTTTATGCAAATAGTTTCCGCAAATTTTGACATTGTGTGACAGATTTATAAAAACCCCTGGCAATTAAAGTTGGCATATGTTCAAAAACAAAACGTCGGGCAACCAGTATAAACAAAATCTCGAAACAATTTCATATGTTTAGACTGCCAAAATTTTTACGTAAAATGCTTATTTTGTGAACAATTATATTAAACATGTCCGCCGTGGGATATATCAAAAGATTAAACGTATTTCGGTCGAAATTACCCCGTGCCTTCAAAGGTAGGCGATATTGTTCAGACGAATGTCCTGACGAAAAGGTATGTGACGTTTTTCGATAATGAACTACTTTAATGGAACGTTTCCTAAATAGAAAGGACTTATTCTCGGTGTGTACGATGGCGAAAACGAGGAACCCGTATTTACGAAAGCAGCAAGCAAATTTAACGATCATCTGAATGGAAAATTATTGGAATTAGTTAAAACGTAAGTCAAGATTTTACCTGATTTATCTAGTTTTCCTGTAGTCAAATGTAAATAGTTTTCTTTAAAATTTTCATTTTATTCAGTTCAAGTTAGTGCCCTAGTCTAATTGAAGTATTATTGGACATAAAGCCTCTAGCCCGTCATCCGAAATATAAACAAATCTGGCAATTTTAATTAATTAGGCGGAATTAATTTCAAACGTGTTAATCACATATTAGGTTTGAAACAAAAAAGAAATCCTTCTCAATGTACACAAGTTTGTAAATGTGCAAGGTGGCTCGCTTATTGTGGTATGACATCTTGTCTCAGAACCTTTAAAAGATATCAAAAAAGCCTAAAGAGAAAAGTTGTTTGGATTCACTAATTATTAATCACTAATTGCTAATAAACTTTTTGAAATAGGCAAACTTATAAAAAAAACAATTTTTAAGAAATGCTAAATATGATAAAATTTGAATGAACTATCTAAATAAAATATTTTTAACAATTTCTTCATTTAAAAGTCTGACAAATCGATAGATATATCTAGACCCGCAGTCGTTATTATTGACATAAAATTCAATATATGTCAAACGGTAGAAATTAGGTACCGGGTATGAAATGTTTTAATATAGAGGATGTTCTATTGAAAACAAGAAAGTTTATTATTATTATTTGATTGTAGCCTATAATAAGTATTATTAATTGTGTGCAAAATAAAAAACTTAACAAATTCAAGATTAAAATGGTGTTATCATTGATAAATAATTTTTGTAAAGAAATTATGCCGGGCTCTTTTACATCTGCATAAGTTGTTATTTTATCAAATAATTTGAAATACAAAAGTGCAACACAACTTCGTTATCTTAAATGGAACACCCCCTATATTATATTATTTTTAGATTTCAAGGTAGGTTTCGTCTGGTTTCCTTGCTGCGAGATACGTATGAGATACGCTGTTTTTGTAATTGCAACTATTTTTATAGCCTTCAGCACGTTAAAACAAACAACTTTTGTATTTAACATTTTTCTGTAAATTAAATTCTTATGTACAACAAAAAAGAAAACTGCTTCAAGATCGCATTTTAAACGGGTGCTCCTAGTTCACATGGACCGTTGAAATTAAACTAGGTATAGGGTTAAGGTTTTTTTAATCCTATGTACATAATTTGACTTTATAATTTCAATGAAATACTTACGTACCAACGAAAATTATAATACAAATAATTTTTTTCAGCGGCGGTTGCGAAATAAAAAGAGGTCAAGGTAGAGTTTACAACAATTTGGACAAGGAATTTTGGTCGGTCGCGATAGTAGGTTTGGGTAAAGAAAAACTCGGCTACAACGAAATGGAAGCGATCGACGAAGGGCTGGAAGCGGTGCGAGAAGCCGCGGGTATTGGCGCGCAGCTCCTTAAGCGGGAATGCGTCGGCAGGATCTTAATCGAAGGTCTGGGACACCCAGAACAAGCGGCAGAAGGAAGTGCCCTAGCGCTTTGGAGGTACCAAGAGAACCGATCGAGGCAACATTGGACGGCCATTCCCACGTTGGAGCTTTTCGACGATAGCGACGCTGAGAGCTTCCAGCGAGGACTGTTTAAAGCTGAATCTCAGAATTTGGCCCGACGACTATCGGACACGCCGGCCAATCAAATGACCCCTTTGCATTTCGCTCAGGAAACCGTTAACGAATTATGCCCATGTGGAATAAAAGTGATGGTGCACGATAAAGATTGGGTGGAGAGCAAGAAGATGAACTGTTTTCTGACGGTAAGTACATTTAGCACAGTTAGCGTTCTAGGTTACAGCCAAAGACCGGAGTTTTGTTGAAAAGGAATAACTTATTTGTTTTGTATTCAACAAGTTATTTGTTGTGGATAGAAGGAAGTAAGGGAAAGAAAATATTAGCAACAATGAAATCGTTGTTTACATCATTGTGCCTACAGAACTCAAATGCTCAATGCAAATGCAAATCATTATCGTCGACCCGGGCTATTGTTCAAGGAGTAATTAGCAAAGAGTTGGATGTGTATTCTTTTTTCTTTTGTTATTTTTCATTCCATGCTAAAATTCACCAGGATGCATTATCAACTGTCCTAAAATTGTCAACAAGTTTCCGTAGCGCGTTACTAAGTCGTCCTTACTTAAGGTTTACAGCGAGACGTTCAAAGACGATGTTAAACGCTTTATTTCTTATGCCTAGATATATTTTTCTTTTGTTAAATCACAGAAATAAGATATTGTAGTGTGTGGTATTAGAAAATTGCAAAATATAAATTAGAAATTAGAAAAGACCTCTTAAATAGTCACATTATTTTTGTTCACTGCATTTCACATTAAAACTTTTAAACATTGGAAACATCTATTCAAACGTAGTTTCTATAAAATAAAAATTGGTTGTTGGTTGTAATCAGTTTCATTTCCTTTTCCTTTCAACTAATGGCAAACATAAAATCAAGAACTCAGTATTATTTTCTACTTCCTTGATCTCCGTAAAAGTTACACTAGTTTCTATCTCATATTACCTTTGTCGTGCAAGGAGGACATAATATCGGTTAAGTCAACATTTCACTAGGAATCTAGCGTTGCCAGGCAAATCAATTTATTATAATTTATTATTTGTTGTTTGGTTTGTTTGTTGTCTGTCATCCATGGTGATGCCAAATAACTTTTCTGGCGTTAATTCTCAATTACATTGTTCACGATGTTTCTGGGCAACGGTGTATACCTGATCCAATGACACCGGTTTCCTTTGGATATACGTGACGTCTTTAAGTCTAAAACTACATTCTGTACTGAGACGCAAACTGAAAAACAAAGATATTGGTTTTTGGGTACTACCATAACAGTTTAATGTTTGTATTTGTCATTACATGCTTTGTTGTAGAAGAGCATTTCTCATCAACATTTTAAAAGGGCAAAAGGTAACATCTATAATTTCCTTCAAATCGTTTCTTTCTGAGATTGTTTGAGTGTTATCTCTGCCTTTTCGGTTTTCTGTGATCTGTGATCATAAAAATAGGGAGAGAGTTGATATTTCAAATTCCATTGATGGATTTCTCTCCATTTTTTTAAACCCAAAATGTCCAAAAATACTCATTATAAGATCCACAGTCTCAAAGACATTCTTATATTAGGTGTAAAAATGCTCACCATTATTCTGAAAATATGCTAATCGGTTTAGAACCCTTTCAACATTACTCAGATTATTTTTTAATTTCAATTTTAAATCATCTAAATTTTTTAGTACTCATACACTTTTGATTTTAAATATCCCAGACGTCTGTCCAGGAAATACTGTTTTAATATGTTCACTCATGAGTCGAGCAAAATGGGGCGATACCATCCTGTTGACATTGAATCTGTTTATTTTGGAATATCAGACTGATTGAAGAAAGTGCGAGAGTAAGAATTTAGTCATTTTGAAGAAATTGTAAATATCGAGCTTCATTAAGATTTTGATCGAAGAAATAAGGTATATAAACGTGGCTTCATTTATTTAAGGTGCACATTTCGATCCTAGTTTCACAAAACCGTAGTCTGCGGTCGAGATCATTTTGTACGGATGATACACGCAAAGCTGCGGTTTACTCCTTAGAAAATATCGACATACTATTTGCAGATAAATAAAAAAATTATATCCTACGAAGATGCTATCACGGTTCAAAGCCAGCTTTATAAGTATAATCTTGCACTCAAGATCTCAAAGTGCAGTCTGTTCATACACCCAAAATATTGCAACTATCTCATTTTTCTATAACTTAAATAACACTACTTTACCGAGATGTAAGCTCTATTAGAGATTAGGGTGTGACTTTCGATTCACAGCCTTCGTTTGTTCAACACATTGATATAATAGTCAATTGTTCTCTTAAATCACATGGATTTATTTTTGGTAACTTTTCAGCATTTTCTGGCATTCCTGCTATAACTTTATTATTCGCTGGTTGGATTTAAGGCTTGAATATGCTTCCATAATCTGGGCACCAATTTATTTAACTCATATTCGGTGTTTTTAGTACGTTCAAAGACGTTTGTAAAGTTTCTTGCTTTTATTAGGGATAGTGTCTACCCACAATCTTGATATTTAATTTACGGCTTTTTAAATATTTTTATATAGATTGTTGCTGACTGAACTCTGACGTTCACATTAAGAATTCCTCCCCAATTTATTGCGTAGATTCCCTCCTCCCCCTGTATCGATTATGCTCGATCGATGCAATTCGCCTAGTCACTGCAGTGATATTTTTAACGATCGCTTACCTAGATTAATAATATGTTTCAAAAACTACAGAAGTCTTGCTAAATATTCATCTAACTGCGAAAATTTATTTTAATTTATTTAATTATGGTGTTATTGTATTTTTCTCATTCTCTTTTTTTTATTATTATTTTATTATTATTATTATTATTATTAATATTATTATTATTATTATTATTTTTATTATTATTATTATATGATTACTAAATAAGACTGTTATTACGAAAATATAAAGCTTTGGTTAGTTTGTGGGTACATCCTATGAGAACGTGTGCTTACGAGAATTTGGGTTTGATTTTGATAGGTCGCGCGAGGTTCCTGCGAGCCTCCCGTCCTCGTTGAAATCTCGTATTGCGGTGCACATCAAGACCAGAAGCCCGTTCTGATGGTCGGCAAGGGTATAACCTTCGACAGTGGCGGCTTGTGCTTGAAGAAGTGCGAAGGGATGGATAACTACAGGGCGGACATGGTCGGGGCTGCTGCGATAATAGCTGCAATTCGCGCTGCTTCCGCTTTAAGCCTCCCCATCAACATCGAGGCCGTTATACCATTGTGCGAAAATATGCCGAGCGGTAAGCGTGTCTAAGTTCTTTGACCTTATTTAGTTTCAATATTCAATATACATATTTTTTTTGAACGACAAAACTTCGAACTTCTGTTGTCTTTATTTTACTTCAATTTTTTAAGCAAGTGCAAAGTGTAAACTTAGTTTACGATTTACACTAGTGATCCACATGTGTATATTCGAGCTTTTTTGTCTCTTGCACTCGAACAATCTTCTTTAGTGTTTACTTATGCATTGCAATTTTTCCCTTTTTATCCAATACAGGTTTAAAGAGTTAAAAAAGTAAAATATATTACATTAAATTTAATATTTTTGTATTATAAATTGTATATATATATATATATATATATATATATATATATATATATATATATATATATATATATATATATATATATATATATATATATATATATATACTCTAATAATATTAACAATACTAATCAAGCAAATAAGTGTAAAAAATATTGTTTAAAAACAACAAAAAGAGCTATTTTCAAAAAAAAAAAAAACAAATTATTGATTTGTTTTTATTACATTATTGAAAAAAAATCAAAATAATTTTGATTTCGAATTCGTATGCGAAAACGCATTTAATAATAATGAATTATAGTAAATTGAATACAAAAATGATTTGTTGCTAGTTTAAGTATAAAAGTAAAAGTATATATAAAAGCACTCGGTAAAGGCTTAATATATATCAATAAATTTTGCCTTACCTAAATGTTTTCTTATTGTTTTGCAATATATATTTTATTATTTTTGTTATTATCATTTTTATTGTTGTTATTGAAATTGTGACATAATAAATGTATTTTTAATATTATTATTATTATTATATAATAGTCATTGAATACTTTTCTTTTGTGAATTCCTCGATGCATTATGTGACAGTTTCTTGTTAAACTTATTCCTGAATGATATCGCTCAAATTGTGAAGAAAATTATCTAATGTGGTTGGTGAGACCTTTTATTAAAAAATAAAGTTTGCATTGTTTATTATACAATTGCATATGGATAATTATACTACAATTTTTTAAATTTTAAATGAATATATCCTACAACTCACTGATTAATGTGGCTTATAGAAACAAGAAATTATTGTATAAATGAAAGATGAATTTTTCTGACGACAACTTTATATGGAAGTGACATGTCTTGCATTAGGCATGTAACCTATTACATATTAGTGATAAGAAACTATTCCTGCACCACTTATAAGTAATGTCACCTACATGAACAATAATATACTTCGATAGGTATGGCAATGAAATGCGGAGACGTGGTGATGGGTTTGAACGGCAAGTCCATCATGATCACCGATACGGACAACGAAGGTCGGTTGGTACTTGCGGACGCTCTGGTCTACGGCCAAATGGCTTTTCAACCCCGGCTAATTATCGATGTTGCCAGTTTAACTCCCGGCGTTAAGGCTGCTTTGGGATCGTCGGCTAGTGGGGTATATTGCAATTCTCAGACGATGTGGTCACAGGTTGGTAGCTTTTATATAATATAGACAAACCCACAGTGTCGATAAAGCTTTTAAAATGATTGAAAATTGTGGTGCGAAAGGTTTAATTTAAAATTTACTTGTCTGCCCACTCATTTGTTGATAGGGTTTTTGAATAGACTTTATAATGCTTCCCACCTTAAGGTAAATCTCTGTGTTTTAGAAAAATCCATTTGATAAGTGAGTTTAGAGACAAATTAAGTCGTCTTTCAAGCGATCAACTGTAAACCAACAATTTTTATTCAAAATGTATTTTGCAACGTTTGTTAATCAATTTTGGTTAGTTTTAAACATATATATCTCATAAAAAATATACTTTTTATGCGATTATATCAGAAAAGTAGTACAAGCTTAAGTTAAAATTTAAATTATAATAATTTAAATAAGTTAAAATGTTCCAATACTTACCCCGACTTTCCTTTCAGCAAGGTAGACCAAAGAGCATTAGGCAAAAATTTGAATTTTAAAATTCATATATACCTAGTTGCTCTATTGGTATGTTGGGCTCCATTACTTTTATGATCTAGTTTTATTGTTTAATAACAGACTTGTTATTGTTTCTTTTTTTTCTATTTGTATTGGATAATACAATAAAGGCAAATTTTTAGCGCTGCCTGTTATTGACTAAAAACACAATAACAGGTAGATATAAACCCAAATTCGTATAGTAATTTTCTTTTATTAGTTTGATGTAAAATTTTCCAAGTTTAATTGCAGTCCAGTTCAGTCCACATAAAATCCAAGTTGTTAGATATATTTATAAATTTTAATTCGTGCAGTTCCGTGTACCAGAGGTTAACGTTCCAAAAATCGTCATGTTTACGTTTCATCGTTTTTGCACATGTTTTAAGTCACGAAGAATAACTTGACATAATGCTAGTCTCAAGTAGGTCCGTGGTGCTGGAATGCGCGAAAAGAATATACCGTAAATCTTTCTCTGACTTACATTTTTTGAATAGTGATACCGCTGTGGTAAACATCAAAACAACAAACAAATAAATCGAGAATTAATCGAAATCTGGATTGTGAATGTTGATGTTACTCAGATCTGGTATTTTCGCAATAAAATTAGATTTGCACATTTGCATATTTCTCAAAATAGACTCTGATGACTCAAACAAATGTGAAATCTGCTACGAAATGAAGGAAGCAAGTTTAAATTGCTATAACATTTTTTTGGTTTTGTTTGTATTAGTTACGTTAGTATCACTTAGGCGCTTAGGCGGGAAGTTGTGTAGAAAAATCGAAAATATATTTTTACTTTGTTTTTAAACAAATATTTCAAGTAATGGAATTAATACCTTATGCAACGGCGGTAAACGGCATTTGAGTCACTAGTTTATTTGGCACGAGCGGAGGTAGTGTTTAATTATCGAGTGAGTAAAAAAATATCAAACATGCTTTTTCGACAACCGTTAGTTTTTGGGTAAATTTTTGCAAAACAATACGCTAAATGTCAAAATTCAAACCGTGCGGCAAAATCTCCGGAAACGTCCGATTGCTCCCAAACCCGTGCGGTAATATCCCAGAAAAGCGAATCACTTCGGACATTTCCATTTTTTCTACTCCCGTCTGTAAAATACCTAATTACACATCGATCTAGCGTGCGGGACGACGTCAGTTTCGTTTTCCACGAATCCGAGCCATTTCGGACATTTCCGGGATTTTACCGCACGGTTTTGGAAGCAATCGGATGTTTTCGGAGATATTTTCCACCCTTTGAATTTTGACGTTAGTCAATTCTGACGGTCATGTCAGTAAATGTATTTGTGTTGTTTTGCGAAAAACAACAAAAACTAACGGCCGTAGAAAAAGTATTGTATGCAACACGTTTGGTAAACTTTTTAAGTCACTCGTTTATGAAACACTCGCTCCGCTCGTGTCAAACAAACTCATAAGCCAAATACCATTTACCACACTTATTGTATAACATACTATTTTCTACTCCCGTCTGTAAAATGCCTAATTACACACCGATCTAGGGTGCGGGAAGCCTCACTTTACCGCGTCACTTTCGTTTCCCACGAATCCTAACCACTTCGGACATTTCCGGGATTTTACCGGACGGGTTTGAGAGCAATCGAATGTTTTCGGAGATATTTCGTACACTTTGAATTCTGACGTTTGTCAATTCTGACAGTCATGTCAGTGAATGTATTCGTGTTTTGCGAAAATGTACGCAAAAACTATCGGTCGTAGAAAAAGTATAGTATGCAACACGTTCTGTAAACTTTTTAACTCACTCGTTTATTAAACACTCGCTCCGCTCGTGTCAAATAAACTCCTGAGTCAAATGCCTTTTACCGCATTTGTTTCATAATATACTATAAGTCACTCTTTTATCATTATGCACTAGTTCCGCTGGTGCCAAAACTAAAATCGTCACTCAAATGCCTTGTTGTTGTACTAATTAATTCAAGTTAAATAAGAAAAGCAGCGTAAACAAGTGCTGTAAATAACATTTAAGTCACGAGTTTATTTGGCATGAGCGGAGCACAGCGAGTTCTTAACAAACGAGTGACGAAAATTTACCAAACGTTTGCTTACTATACTTTTTCTACGATCATTAGTTTTTGGGTAGTTTTTTGCAAAACAGCATTGTGTATTTTGAAAATACATTTACTGACATGTGACTGTCAGAATTGACAAACGTCAAAATTCAAGCCGTGGATTATATTTCCGAATACATTCGATTGCTCCCAAACCCGTGTGGTAATATCCAGGAAATGTCCGAAGTGGCTCCTGGCCGTAGGAAAGAAAACTGACGTGATAAAATGATACCGCACACTAGTTCGGTTATAATTGGGTATTTTAGAAAAGGAAGTAGAAAAAATGTTTGACATTTTCATATTCCATATAAAGGTTGCGTAGCATTTTTTAAATTGCGTTGTTTTATTAAACACTCGTTAGCGACCAAACGTTGTCAGATAGCCAACTTTCGTTTGAGCCAAGACTTTTTTAGCTAAATTCGAGTCTAGGAAATAGGGAATGAATTTTTTCTCATATATGTTCAGATAAGGTGGTTCTATAATAAAATACTTATTCGGCCATGTGAGGATTTTCAATTAAAATAGATGGAAATAGTCTCATTTTACCTATGATGCGAACGGGTCCTTGAATTGCAGTATCAGTGGATTTTGCAATCCGCATTTTTTAATTCTCGAAAGAACGACAAAAAGAACAGTGGCGGGCACCCAATTGAACTGAACTTGCGAAGTATATAAATACAAATTAATCAAAGTAAACCACCCCTGTACTACTCTCGACAAGTTAGCAAGATTAGTAGACAGTACGATTTATAGCGATGTATAAATAACTTTCTGCCATGGTGATAAGAGGACCGAAAACTAACCAAAATTGGCAATGTTACTACCAAAACCTCTTGCAAATATGTCGTAGATATCGCGCCATTTACAAACAAGCACTTTTAGGTTCGCAAGGCGGGGGTGATAACTGGGGACAGGGTTTGGCGGCTTCCCCTTTGGAAATACTTCACCAACAAGGTAACAAAGTTCAGATCGCACGACGTGAACAATAAAGGCCTCGGGCACGGATCCTCCTGCATAGCGGCGGCGTTTTTGAACGAGTTCATAGATTGTGTAGACTGGATCCATTTCGACGTGACGGGAGTCGGCTTCAAAAGCGAACATAAGAACTACTCTTATCTGACAAAGGGTCGAATGACGGGAAGACCAACCCGTACCTTGATACAACTGTTGTACCAACTGGCTTGTCCTTCCGAAGGTCAACGCAAGCTCGACTAGTCCTCCGTCCGATTTAACCTCTGGGTGTTTTTTTCGTGTTTCTCATATGTGTCACATTGGCAAAGATCACGCATACAGGGTAAATTTTATAGAGTAGGTGACTTTCGAGCTGGGAGTATTTTAATTTTTTATCACTTTTAGTCCGGGATTAGAATACGGGGTTAGAATCTGACTATTTTGTTAAAAATATTTGTGCAGCCTGGTCAGCCGCAAATAGTAGGTTAATTAATGAAAATTTGCGCATTTTACATTTATTCAAAAGAAGTCAAATATCTGAATTGAGGTTTGTCGAAATGGTATTCGGCCAAGAACGTTTGTGATCACGTCGTCGGTGTGAATTTACGTAAAAATTTTGAGTGGAGATTTATACGCGAATAGGATGATGCAATAACGGTCCTTGGTATCGTCAGCCTGCATGGGAAAGTTTTGTTCTGGTACCTGATTTGTAATTTGTTGGCAAGATATGAAAATATATTTATAAGCGGTTATTCATGGGTTTTGATTATGCATTTTTTCCACACCTTGCGTGCGGCGTTCTGTTCTATTTTTATAGCAATTTTGCCTTTATTCAATAGCTGCTGATTTGGTACAAGCAAACAACAAGTGTTTTGTGAAACATTTTTCAAGCATAACTTTTTTGTCATCTGGCCTAATTATCCAACTATGTTAGTTGGTACATTAGTAGATATTTCAAACTAAAGTAAAATATGATAAAAACATTCATATGGGTGTCCATATTACCCTAGTTAAAAAATTGCAGAAAAAAACAAACAGAAACGATTCTTTAGAAACAGTTTGAGCATTGATGTTAGGTCGACCTCTCTTCGTGGTAATATGTCAGACAAACGAAGCACAACCTGATGTAAATCTGTTGAACAATACCAGGACTCTACTCACTTTGAAACCGTTGGGTTACTGCGTCTTGATGTGGAAGGCTGGCAATCGGATTCATCACAAAGGTGTTTGGTTTGGATTTTATAGATAATAGACTTTCGGAGGTTATCTCTTTTAGTTACTCGTTTGGTACCCTGAGTATAATATGGCTTATGAGATGAGAATACACTAGCAACATCAATACTTACAGTGTGTGGTATACCCACAACTACTAATTCGTTTAATTTTTCAAAATATTTGTATCTTAAACTGGATTTATTTTATAACATTTGACTGTAGACTACACAACGGCGAATTGAAATTACCAACACTTTTAGGAAAGAATCATGGTTAAAAAAAATGTTTGCTTGTATTTTTTCCATCACTGGGCTATATATACCCCCACTTCCTTACGAAGCATCACCGTGAAGGATGAATGTTGCCAAAACTAACCTTTTATTTCATTCATTCCTAAAACTGAAATATAAGTCAACAATAAAAAGTGTTGATAAGGGATATTTAATAAGCTCACAGATTCAATTAACCTTAACTATTTACCTACAAATGTACAAATTTTGATTATAACCAACATAAGCATTACTCTGAAGGCTTGGCCACTTAAATAAGACAAAACAACTATAAAACACACGATAATTTAAAATAACAATTTCATGCTGCTAATTTGAAACTATCTTTTTAATTCTATATCTCTACTGCTTCTTAACTCGAGAGAGTTATAAAATATTATCGAACTGGAAAATTTATTGGTATTAAAGTAACGTAATGGTTAAATATCCCTAAAACTGCTAAAGCTGGAACGATAAAATTCAATATTTGGCGTTTTTGAATGTTTAGAATATTGTCAAATTTACGAATTTTACGTCACATCTCACAATTTTAAAATTCTGCAGTAAAAAGTAAAGGACGCTTTAATATCCCCAAAACGGCCAAAGCTGGGACGATAAAACTCAAATACCTGCGGTTTTTCGAACATTTAGCATTCAAACATGCTAACAGCAATGTCAGATTTCTGATGATATTCATAAATCTGATACCTTTCTAAAGTTGAAAATTCAAAAACTTCCAAAATTCTGAGATGTTAATTTTTTCTGATTGTTTAAAAACGTCCAAGTAATGAATGAAATTTTTTGGATATTTAAGCGTCCCGGTACATTTTACTAACCCTGTATGATGATTGTCAAGCTCCCCGAAAGTGGCAAGTAGACGAATCGATAGTTGACCTTAATTGACCAGTTTGTGTTTAAAATTAGAATTATAGTTAATTTTAGGCAATCGCTTTTAGGTTGCGCTTTCTAAAAATGAGAGTATTATTATGATCAATGTATTCAAAGCTCTTCGCCACCAAAACGCAAAATTCGGAATTGGAAAAATATTTGCAATATGACTGGAGTCAACAATATATCGACTTGTACACTAGGCTAAACGCGGCCCTATTAGGTCACCATAGCGACGTACAGCAAGCAAAGAAACTGCAATAAATGAGGATGAAAGGACTGCCATCATAAGAACACAATACATTTGTCTTACTTAAAAATAAAAATACCTACCATGGACAAAATAATATCTGTTAGAAAACACTCTAGAGTCCCTTATTATTTCTCCATAAGTTGTATTGTAATTGGTAGATTTTTTTAAATTCATTCATTTTCATATTATTCTTACTTCCATAAGTTTTTGACTGCTTACACATAATTATTATAATAATTCTAAACTTTTATGACCTAAGTAGGTTTGACAACACTGCGACTCTGAGAACATTTTCGACCAAGTGGGACATTGGTTTGCTATCGAATTATCGAAGTCGACTACTAACATTTGCAAATATTCCATGAGAGACAAACTAACTACTCATAGTCCTGTAAACAAAGCAAAAGTGGTAATTTCATTTTAATTTTAGAAAAACTAATATCTAGTTCTTGTACGTGTAATAATGCACGTTAGTATAGGAAATAAATTTCTTTATCTTACGTCACTAATAAGGATTTTTCAACAAAACAAATTTCAATGAAACAACTAGTTGATGTTTGTGTTTTTAAAGCGTCGAGATCAGCTAATAGAAACGTGGAATGTTTTAATAAATTAAAATTTATACGAAGACAAATTAACATTCGCGATATCAAAATCAAGTTTTGCAACTTTCCGGTTTCCCGCAATATAAAAACGTTTCAGAAAGAGCGAACCAAGTTTAGTATATTTCGTTCTGCGCGCTGCGAGTGTTATTTCCAGTTTTGTTTTCTATTTCTTTATTTTCAAACGATTTATGTGTCAATGAGAGTTCTCCAGTTCTTGGTTAATTCCAAATTTCATCAGGTTGTTAGGTAATCCATGTCGGTATTCTTAAAACCAAGACATGTATACGCTCTTTTGTCAACTTTCAGCTTAGAGAAGAACTTGTGCACCAAAAAGGGTAGCAGGAGAGGAAACTCGGGCAACAGGAAGGAACTTCAAGTTCTGACTCAAATCCACCACGTGCCCTAAAGCGATAGGCCGGAAAACGAGGCCTTATTAGTGTTTACTCATTAACAGCTGCGAGCATATCATTTTTTAGTGATTTAGACTCATTTTCGTGTTTCATCGTTCAACATGGTTCAAAGCGCAAAATACTCGTCACTGTCAAAACAGTTACCCAACAACTGGGATATTTCTAAGTAAGTATTCACTCGATCACTTTGATAAATATGCATATAACATACCGACTTATAATAGAAAACCCGTTGCCGCTTCAGCCAATTCCAAGAAGCAACAAAATGAGACGACCTCAAAGAAAGAGGACAAATATGGAGCGTGGGGTTCAACTTTCAAAAACAAGGAACATTTTGCCAACCTGCATTATTGTTAAAAAATTTATTTTCATACACCCTCAAACTAACGTAGATATTCTTGTAGAAATAAACTTGATACATTAATATGACTATATAACCTGATGGGATGGGATTATTCATGAAATAAATTCGTGTACATTTTCCCTTTGTTTTGTTACTTGTTTGAACCACAATTTCTCCGATGCGATGATCAAACATGCTATGAAGAACCCTAAAATAGGAAAACAATTTTAACATTAAAATTTCTAAAAGACCCTCTATCAAAAAAATCTTCATACTATTTGTTAATACAAAACAAAACTTAATTTTTGTGAATATTAATTACAAACAAATAAAATAAAAACAAATATACTTACATCTGATATATATTAACGAACAAACATGTTATTACTTAGTTACTAAACAAGATTATATGATTTTTGTAATAGTGCCGCATGAGTTTAACAAGTAAGCCTATTTTTCCTGTCCAATTTTTAAAAAACATAAAAATTTTCCATTTATTACACGTCATCTGAAACTATTTGTAAATAGTAAAAAAAGTTTTATTAAAAATGGGTGAATGAAAGTGTTACACAACTATAGGTAAAATACACGAAACAATTCGGTACTTTGTATAAAGTAAAACTCCGTTCTTGAAAAATAAAAAAAATTTCTCTCCAGATTTTAAGATTTCTATTCAATAAAAATTTCGATGGAAACCAAAAACCCAAATCGGGGTTTAAAAAAAATGAAAGGAATTGAAAGAAAACAGGGAGAAATAATAAATTCCTTTTAAATAGAATTGCAATGGTGTGCAATAGAGTGGTTAAAAAAGTAGTTCCACTCTTATATTTCATTATCGTACTTACCTGTTCCAAGAAAGCTATTATTTATTATCGACTGCAATAAAATGAAAGTAAGAAAGGGTAGATTGAGTTCGTTAATTTACTAGCATCGTGAAAACTCACAAAAAATAAATTTGTAGGTAATAATCTTGTCTTTTTCCCATTTTCATTCACTTGCGACCAATAGAAGGGATTTCTACTGGTGGAGTAATTTTTTTTTTGTTTTTAATACAAATTTTTCGAGAATACTGCATTTTAACATTTTAGCTAAACACATCCACTTTTGGCTATTTGCCCACAATATTTCTGTTCAGTAAAATTCAAAAATAGTTAGCCTGGTTGTTCAAGAAGTTACCTCTTGGTGAGGAAGCACCATTAGGAAAATAATGAATAAACCTAAGTTGAGTCCTGATAAGAAAAGCTTCCATTTCGGAGCAAAACGATTAGTTTTTGCAAAAAAAAAAGTGTTTTACAAAGTTTTGAGAAAATGTGATGTTCACCGTCTATACGGTGGGCAAACGAGAGTGGGCAAAAAGGAAAAGGAAAACACCATTTAAACTTGTTCATCTGGGTCCACCCATTAGCCATGATGACGGCAATGTTGTAGTTTGAAAATGCATATCAGCTGTTTTACTTTTATAGAAGACATTATGGACCACCATGTTTACCTGGCCAGTATACAAAAATTGCGATTAGGTGACTACACTAGTACAAGATTCGTTAATTTTTTAACATTCGACAACAACTGCATACATTCAGATATTCAGATATGCAGATATTAACCTCATAGAACATCTGTGCGTGCGTCAAACCAAAGTATCCACCAACGAAGCGTTTACAGAAGAATGGAATAATATTCCTATAGATGTCACCATTAAATTCGTTCATATCGTGCCGAATGCACAGTTATGTCACAATATCTACAAATTTACAAAAGATACTTTAAAAACACAAATATTCCTAATAATAATTTAAATGCAGTGGGTTTCGAATTAATACTCACAAAAATGGAAAGCTCTTATTCACAAAAAACTGTGTGTATTAACAGTAACTTAAGGTCTATTTTCAGAATAATAAAAAAAATCATTGGATAAAACTCGAGCCTTACCAAGGGCTAGTACGAAAAAACTGCCTTGCATGTCGTCCATATTGACAGTGTGATTGTTAACTTCCACCGAGCTTTTTCTCTTCCAGCACTTGTCCCTTTTGGGCAAGTAGTCCTCGAGCCATTTTTGAATCAGTCCCACCTGATGCAACTTAGTTATCCTTAAAAAATCTGTATAGAATTCACATGCGTTGTCATTTTTGTTTTTTAGCTTACTCCTCATTTATCCTACTCAAATAAGGAGTGTCAGGTGCCACAATTAGAGCAATTTTTTCATCTAGAAATTCATCTGATCCTAAAAATAGTTCAGTCTTTTATATCGACCACATATAATTTCACATTATTTGTACCATTAAAATATGTTTCAGCATTCCATTGACGCCTTTTAATAATTAATAAACAATCAACAGTTTAGAAGTTGTATGTCGAAAAGAAAGAAAATTGGAGTTTTTTCCTTTGCCGATATTATTGAAATTTGGAAGAGTTTCAAAATGTGATTGAAAGATTGCTGCGTTTTTGATGTTGTTTTTTAATGGATATTTTCTCATTCTATAAGTCTGTTTTTATTTTTTTATAATGAAAAAAATAACAACTGTTATTTGGTTGTGGTCATATCAAACTAACCCAAGCAAACATGGATTAAAATCAAGTGGTGCTCACCCAAAGTAAGGAGGCAGGTATCACTAATTAAAAACTCTTGTTTCATATAATACTGCAGCTTAATTTTCCAATCTATGTAAACGTGCTTCCCTGACTTGATCTTATCTAGCAACAGCTTTTGATCATCAATTTCTATTTGTTCATCGTAGAGGAGTTTGTAGGTTTCGTCGGTGCTGGTCTACAAAAGTTTCGGGTAAAAATTATTCAAGCTTGGATTCTTAAAATGGTTGTTGTTTGTTACTCTAAATAATTGTAGTTATCACTAAACAATTACATAATGCAAAACTATAATGATCCACAACGATACATCAGAAAACTAATCATCTCCAACTAATGAGGAACTGCCGCACGCAAATGTGTGTGTCAGAAGCATTTATATGTACATATTTCTTAATGTTTTAAAGTTTTTTCCCGCAATGTTTATACTGTACTCTGTCTTCGAAATAAACTTAATCTGTCTGGCCATTAAAACGTAGGTATTTTATCTAATTGGTGTAGTGTAACCATTATGTTTCTGGTTTATTTATATGCCCTCTCGTGGTAAATTTTTATTAAACTCTCATCAGTAGTTCTAGTTTTGGGTTAATTTGGAGGATACCTTATAGACGTGAGTACTGAGATAAACTTTGTTTTTTAATTTGAAGTTAATACATTAAAAATATTGTCTATTACATAGTATTATTATTAATATTATTAGAATAGAAAAATTTTAGGTCCCCATATAATCGTATCCTGAAAATACATTATTGAGAAAAAAATTACGCACTTTGACAAAATTCGCATAGGTATGGCAAGCTAAATTTGTTATAAATGAAGAAGTGGAAAGTACAGTTGGGAATGATTTCTGTTATCATTATTATTGCACACATAGCACTTGCAGGGTGTGTCAGAACAAGTTGCGGAGCGTTAAGGGTCTAAATTTATTTTCAATTTTGAGAAGAAAATATCTAATAAACCTCCGCCCGAAAAGTCTTAAATTTTGAGCTACAACTAAGTTTCGGTTAAATATATTGATATATTGAATATATTCATGAAATTTGCTTTAATGTTTTTGGGCGCTGCTCTAATAATTTTAGGGAAAATTTGATTTCTAGATATTTTTTGTTGAACGAATATTTTGCTATGCACAACAAAATGTACTATTTTCACGGGAAAAGGTTCGTACTGCATGGTCAAAAAATTCAAAACTTAATAGGTTTAGGACATTGTTTTATTTTTATTTTTCTTTTAACACCCTTAGGCACGTTATTCTGAAGCACCCAAAATCCCAGACATTGTTTTTGTTCGGTTGTTATAGTATCTAAATAACTTGCACTATGCAGAAACACCACTAACTAAACAATATTGACAAAAAACAATTTTCTATTAAACTCTTCGGATTGAGTGAAACGTAGAATCTCACAACCCGAGCTACGTTAGCCTGATCTTTAGAAACAGCAGGACATATGACCATTCTGCAAATATACCGAAAGTGCAAATTTTTGCAAATCAAAAGGTTATGGGCTGCATAGGGTAAAAGTTTCTAAATAACAAATTGTGTACCTTCAGCTGGTCGTCCAAAAACGAGTTTTTTGCTATACTCCAGGTAACCGTTTCTCGGTAACGAATTAGCTCTTCAAGGGTGGTGATTGGGGTGTCAATTCGCGGAAATGTGAGAAAAGCTACTAAATTCCCGGAGTATGTGGTTGCTATAATTAGAACTACCAACCACCACGATCCCACTAGGATTCTCGCGCTGTCGGCGTAAGGAAGATGCATACCACCTATGCAGAAGAAACTCTATGTTAACAAGTTAGGTATGCCACCAAATGATATCACACCAAATAGTAGAATGATTTACGGCGGTAGATAAGATGTATGTAGAGAAATTTGATTTTTAAAGCAAGTTCTTGCTGAATATTATTCCAATTTGCTATTGCGTCTTGATAATTTTTGTATATGACTTGCTTTGACATTGCCCCTCCAATGAAAGATTTAAAATTGGAAGTATTCAAATTTTATAGAAAAGTGTTAACTTAAATTTTGGAATAATAAATATTTTTCCAATCGGCTAAAAATCGAATAGACAACGTTTCATCAGCAAAAACATTTTGAATAAATAGAGGAACACCGCTTATACCAGTATACCTTGTTGCAGAAGAGCGCCATACATATACCAAATGCAGTTCTGTACTGTCGAGAGACCACCCTTAATCTTCGCACCTTTGTATTCGTATACGGGGCTCATCTTGTTTATATAAAACAGTATCGGTCCCATGGAAATAATTGTTGCCGCAAGACATAACCAGGTCTACAAAAAATGCCTCGTATTTGGAATTAATTAAAAATTAAATAAAATAAAATTGATCTGTCGGTGAAAATCGTTCGGACTTATAAATATTTCTGGTGCTTTTGTTTTGAACTAGTAACAATGTGAAGTTGCATTAAAAATTAAACAAATTCTATCTGTAAAACATTATTCGTAGTTACGTTCGGAGTTTTTGTAGTGCGTGTTTTGTGAAAAATGACAGAAGAACCCACGGAAATATAACCCACGGCTTGAATTTTGACGTTTGTCAATTCTGACAGTCACATGTCAGTAAATGTATTTTTAAAATACACAATGCTGTTTTGCAAAAAACTACCCAAAAACTAATGATCGTAGACAAAGTACAGTAAGCAAATGTTTGGTAAATTTTCGTCACTCGTTTGTTAAGAACTCGCTGTGCTCCGCTCATGCCAAATAAACTCGTGACTTAAATGTTATTTGCAGCACTTTTTTAGGCTGCTTTTCTTATTTAACTTGAATTAATTAGTACAACAACAAGGCATTTGAGTGACGATTTTAGTTTTGGCACCAGCGGAACTAGTGCATAATGATAAAAGAGTGACTTATAGTATATTATGAAACAAACGCGGTAAAAGGCATTTGACTCAGGAGTTTATTTGACACGAGCGGAGCGAGTGTTTAATAAACGACTTAAAAAATTTACCGAACGTATTGCACGGTATACTTTTTCTACGACCGTTAGTATTTTCGCAAAACAACACGAATACATCCACTGACATGACTGTCAGAATTGACAAACGTCAGAATTCAAAGTGTACGAAATATCTCCGAAAACATTCGATTGCTCTCAAACCCGTCCGGTAAAATCCCGGAAATGTCCGAAGTGGTTAGGATTCGTGGGAAACGAAAGTGACGCGGTAAAGTGAGGCTTCCCGCACCCTAGATCGGTGTGTAATTAGGCATTTTACAGACGAGAGTAGAAAATAGTATGTTATACAACAAGTGTGGTAAACGGTATCTGGCTTATGAGTTTGTTTGACACGAGCGGAGCGAGTGTTTCATAAACGAGTGACTTAAAAATTTACCGAACGTGTTAGTTAAGGTTTTCTAACGAAGGATCTCGTTTTTAAAAAACACTTTTTATTTTACAAATAGAACTACGAGGTTTTATTTAACCTGCTACAAGGAGAACTGGACGCAAAGTACAAAGTTGTTATATATATAAAGTTTTTATGCAAGCGTCGCGTCGCAGATACTGGGAATACTGAAGCTAGCATTTCATCAGCATAATTCCTCCCTCCGAAGGGACAGGGACGAAGGGTTGTTTTCGGAAGACTGGTCGTTCTGGGTTTTCTTGGAATCTTGCAGCAAATGGCTCTTGTAGATTTTCCATGCTATAACTATTAACAAGATTAAAATAAACATCATTCCTGTTGAAGTGGCGAGACTCCAAGTGACTGGATGAATTTCATAACCAATGTCGGGGATCGATGATTTCGCAGCTTCTCGTAGTTTTTTGATCGTATTGAGATCAATCGATTGTAGTTGGAGTGGCTGGTACTTTACATCGTGATGTTCCATATTTTCAATTTTAATGGGTGGCAGTGAGAATGGGTTTGCTTTAAAAATTTCTTCTTTATTCTAAAGCTCAGTATTTTGGGTACTTATACCACAATTATATGGAACATTGATTAGGCGGGCTTCTTCAATAAAAGCTATTTCTTTGTTTTGACAATTCATGTGTAATTTAAGTTTCTGTTCCGATGGTATTATCAAAACAAATCTACTAGTGATTGGTCGTATTATATGCGTTGAAACATTTACATTGACTACGTGGCAATTTTTGTTTTCGGCATATTTAATGAGGGTTGTCACACAATCACCGATGGGCTGGGTAAGTTGATTTTCGCAAACGTAGGTGTCTTCAATGATTGGGCAGATTGATTCTTGATATTGTTGCATGTCAGTGCCCAATATTAGGTAGGGTGAATTAGGTATAATTAAGGAGTGATTCACAGGTACTGGGAACAGGTGGAATATTTCAAAAATATCTTTAAGAAAAATCGGAATATGGACGGCAAAAATTATTTTATCTTTTGTAAATTTAACTTGTAAGTTTGCTAACTGATAATAATTATTTTGATTTTCAAAAATTAGAATTTGATCATCACCATAGAGAACAGTCAATTTAAAAATTATTTGTTCTAATTCAGCCGCCGATATTACTACAGGATGTAATGTGTTTAATTTCGCAAATGTAATGGCATTTTCTAAATTATCCAAAAAAGTTATAAAACTTTGGCAATTTAGAATAATTTGCATTAGTGTATTTTGAGCTTTAATGAAAGTAGTTATGTCAGTAATAGTTTTATTTGAATTATATTCAAAAATGTCTATATGTTTTTTAATAGCTTCTTGATTTTTCTGTAGAAGTGTTATAGTATCATTATAGTTGTCAATCAGCTGTTGAATCAACGAGGTTTGCTTTTTTAGTTGGATGTCAGATGAATGTTTACTACGCACAAGTTCTGTGATAATTTTATCGTATTTTTGTCCATCCTCTGAATCGAGAGTGCCAAAAAGCCATTTCGATAATTTACCTACAACATTTATTAAACCTCTTTTTGTACGGTTATTAGGTTTTATGTTACCAAGTTTAAATTTTACTTGAGTAATTAAATATCGAACATTATTAAGTAAATTATTTCCATTAATATAGTGTACATTCTGATAATTATGTTTATTTGTATAGTTTAATGATTTTGAGATTACAGCGTAAGCGTATTCTAAATTACGTAATTGATTAAAAAGTTGAGATGTTTCTACAAAATGCAAAAATGTATGTTGATGTTGAATTATTCGAGCATTTCCTAAGCGGAAGGGGAGAAGTGGTGTTTTAATTGGGATAACTTCAATATCATTATTCGCTATCACTAATAACAGCGTAGCTATTTTTTTATTTTTTGTAATAATTTTATTCCCAATATCTTGATCTATAATAACAGGTTTTCTTCGGGGTTTGTCCTTACTACGTTTTGCTGTTTTGTCAGTAACGTAAACCTTTGTATTTTGTTTCATTTCAGGTGGATTTTCTCGTTTTTCGTTTTGTTTTTCATTTAAACGTATTTTTGTTTCTAACGATGTTTCGTAAATTTGTTGATAGATAGTTTTTAGTCTTTCACGTCTATCTGTGATATAATTATTTACAATGATTTCATCCGTTAAATCAAAGGGATCTAAACCGTTTACTTTTCCATTAATAACGTCAAAAGGTTTTTGTTTTGTTACGCTATGCATTGATGAATTATAACCTATAATGGCGTATTTTATTAAATTTTTAGCGGCTTCTTTAGGTTCTTTTAATTTTAGTACCCTATATAATTCAACAAGAGTAGAGTGAAATCTCTCTATTGGACTATTACTATTAGAATTGCCGGGAGTTGTAAAATGAATTGCAATTTTATGCAATTTACAGAAATCTAAAAGCAAAGACGTTTTAAATTCCGTACCATTATCACACGTTATTTGTTGAGGTAGGCCGTGATGACTTATAAAGGTCGCTAAACCGTCTAAGATAGCAATTGCTGTGCAAGCGGGTTCTAACGGATAAGCTTGGGCGTACCGTGAAAATACGTCTATAATTGTAAGAAATTTTACGTTACATATTTGAAAAGTATCCATATGGATGGATTCTAATGGTTCAGAAGGGGTCGGTGTCAACATAAACTTTAATTTTGGTGGATGTCGATCATATTTTGTTTGTTGGCACGTGTCACAATTATTAATATATTCAGTTAGATCAGTTTTCATATTTGGCCAATAATAGAGCCTTTTTAATGCTATTAGGCTTTCATTAATTCCTCGATGACAGGTTTTTTCATGATGATATGCAATTAGGTCTTTTTGTTTTGTCCTGTCAGTGACGTCAGTTAAAAGAGTTTTCGATATTACCAATTTGTAAGCACGGTTTTTAAATGTATTTGGTAACAAAACAGATAGTTCTCGATTTAAATCTATTTCGGTGTTTTGTACATAAAGGCAGTACATTTTTGTTGGATCCAAATAATCTAAAAAGAATTTAATTATTTCATTTTGATAGTTTTGACTTAAATAAACAGAAAATCTAGATTTATTTTGGAATGGGTAACTCCTAATCACGTGATAACGACCGTTTGTTTTTTGGTTAAATATTATTTGATTAGAGTAAGTATTTAAAATATTTTCGAAAATCTAGATTTATTTTGGAATGGGTAACTCCTAATCACGTGATAACGACCGTTTGTTTTTTGGTTAAATATTATTTGATTAGAGTAAGTATTTAAAATATTTTCGGTAATTGGTATATTTAATATTGGATCTTCAGCTGCTGAGTGTACTGTCTTACCAGTATTAGGAATATTTGGCGGTTTAATTTGAATGTCCGAGATGATATTAATTTTTGGAGTGTTTACATTTTCTAGAGGGTTAAACACGTCTTCAATTTGTTCCAATTGTTCAAGGCTTATATTTTGATCTTCTTCATGTATGTATTTATCGATATCTTCATTAATATCTCCAGGATTTCCGAAAAGTGACTCTTTATCTATCATATTTAGTTCGATGCGTGATAGGGCATCAGCGTTAGTGTTCAGTTTGCCCTTCCTATAATGAACTATGTAATCAAACTCTTCCAGTTTTAGTCGCCATCTTAGTAATCTGGAATTTGGTTCTTTCATATTAAACAGGTATTGTAGAGGTTTGTGATCGGTAACTATCACAAATTTTCGGCCAAATAAATATGGTCGGAAATATTTTGTTGACCACACCATTGCTAGTAATTCTTTCTCTATGGTTGAGTAATTGCTTTCAGCCGGGTTCAATGTCCTAGAGGCAAAGGCTATGGGAAGATCACTACCAATTTTTCCTTGGCTGAGAACCGCTCCTATAGAAACATTAGAGGCGTCCGTTGTCAATATAAAAGGTTTTTCGAAATCTGGATATTGTAGTATTGGATCATTGCACAAGATATTTTTACAAAGATCGAATGCTTCTAGAAATTCTGGCGTGTGTTTGATGGTCGCTCCTTTCTTTAGGCAATTTGTGAATGGCTTGGTGAGTTTTGCAAATCCGTTAATAAATCTTCTATAGTATCCTTGAAGGCCTAGAAAGGATTTTATGTCTTTTGCTGTTTTCGGTACAGGAAATTTCTGGATTGCAATAATTTTCTTGGGATTCGGTTTAATTCCGTTTTTTGTTATTATGTGACCCAAAAATTCTACTTCGGTTCGTAGGAATTCCGTTTTATCTAGTTGAATTTTTAGTCTAGCCTGTCGCAGTTTTTGGAAAACAAGTTTAAGATGTTTGATGTGTTCTTCTAGGGATGACGAAAATACTATGATATCGTCCATGTATACTAGACAAACCTTTCCCTGTACATCACGCAAAACATTATCCATGACGCGCTGGAATGTCGCGGGGGCGTTTTTCAATCCGAAAGGCATTCTAACAAACTCAAAATGACCATTCTCGACACTAAAGGCTGTTTTTTCAATTGATTCCGGATCCATTTCGATCTGATGAAAACCAGATGAAAGATCGATAGTTGAAAAATAATTACACCTTCCCAATTTATCGAGTATATCATTTATATTAGGCAATGGATAGCGGTCGTCTATCGTTTTCTCATTTACCTTACGAAAGTCACAAACAATCCTCCATTTTTGCTTGCCGCTGGCGTCAGGTTTCTTCGAGACTACCCAAATGGGGCTGCTCCAAGGGCTTTGGCTATGTCTAATAATGCCGTCGTCTAACATTTTGTTAATTTGCCGTTGAACTTCCTCTTTATGGATAAAGGGGTATCTATATGATTTAGTGTATACAGGCAATTCATCCGTTGTTCTTATACAATGTTTGATTTTATTGGTGAATGTTAACTTTTTGTTTTCATGATGGAAAATATCGTTATATTCTTTACAAAGCCTTATTATAGCAGATTTTTCTTCTAAATTTAAATGTTCGCAACGAATTATTTTGGAAATGTCGCATTTACTAAATTGTTCTTTATGTTTTGATAAGATGTGTTCTAAATTAAAAAGTTCAAAATTTTCTTTATGAAAGTCCGGAAAAGATAAAACTTTTAGAGGTTGTGGGAAATTTAACGTTATATTTTTCTCAGTGTAATTAAAAACTTCTGTTTGCGCAAAACCGTTTTTTGCAGTAGTAAGTGTTTCTGGAAAATAGAGACCTTCAATGACTTGCTCGGGAATAATAACATCATTGTTTTGTGTTACTGGAATTCTTACGTTAACAATTTCGTGTGCATTCACAGTAATACAATATATTTCGTTTTGTGGTTGTCTAAATAAAATTGGTATATTAGTTGTATTATTCCTTAATTGTTTATTGACAAGATCGATAGAAAAATTAAAACGTTTTAGGTCGTTTAATCCTATTATACCGTCAAAAAATTTATGAAAGTCAAAAAGAATAAAAGATAGGTTGGTATTAGCCTTTAATTCTGGGAAAGCCGGAATATCTGCTTTAAATAGAGTTTCCTTTTCACCAGTTCCTGTTTTAATAATAGTTGGGGAATGATATATTTTTTCATAATAAAATTTTTCTGCAATGGAAGGTCGAAGAATCGAGTGAAAACAACCAGTATCAATTAAAAGTTTAATTGCGGGTTCTTTAATCTGGATGTACGGTAAACTATTATTAATTTCGGTATACATTTCTAATGTCATTTCGTTGAGTCGCATTGGCTCGTTGTTGTAAAATTTTGAGAGATTTGATTTTCAATTTCAGGGTGTTCGTCAAAATTTTGAGTGTCATTAAAGTATTCAGTTTGATTTGAAAATTCAATTTCAGAGTATTCGTCTTGGTGAATATTTTCATTTTGAAATACCGCAGATGTTTCATCTGTTTGTACCGCGTTACTTTCGTCGATTTGGTATAATTCTTGCGAAATAAAATTTCTAGGGCCAGTAGGTTTGAAATGGTTAATTTGATTATTTTGACGTGGTATAGTATAGTTTGTTCTTGTTGACATAGGTTCGGGTTTATTGTTAGGTATCTGACCTGTCGGTTTAAATACGTTTTTAGGTGGGCCAAAAACTTGCCTATTTGTAGGAAAATTTCTTGGAACTTCGCGTGGTTGAGGCATATTAATTGGATCTCTGGGAAAACTATTAGTCTGGGGAGATAATTTGGATTTTGTGAAAATTGTTTAACGGGTTCGATAGAAGTATTAGGTAAAACTTTTGATTGAATTGGACTTCTGAAGATATTTTGTGTATATTGAAAATTTTCCTCTTCAATAATTTGGGTCATAGCTAATTCTATACAGCTCGGATTTTTAAGTCTTATAATACTTTGTAATTGTCCTGGTAATCCTCTAATAAACGTCCTTAAACAAATTTGATCGTATTGACGTAAATGAATTACTTTGCTTGCATTATCCATGGTATCGGCAGGAAATGCATTAATTTTTTGAGCACGGATACTTCTTAAAACTTGTAATCTTTTCCCAAAATCTAAAGGATGTTCATTTTTAAAGGGGGTGGCCATAAACAAATCCTGTTCTAAACATTCTAAGTTTCGTCTATCGCCAAAACAATTTAACAAAGCTACTTTAATATTGTCCCACGTTACTAACTCCATTCTACAGCCTACTAGAATTTGTGCGCGATCAACAAGTTTCATTCTTATAGTTCTTAACAAATATTGTTTTAAAATTTCGTCGTTTCCTTGACCATATGTATCAAAAAGGAAATCTCCAGCTGATAGAAAACTATTTAAAGTGTTGGAATCACCATTATATGGCAGAATACTATCTATAAACATTTTTAACAAAGTGTAATTTACACCTGAATTCGACGATTGATTAGAATTCATTTTCAAATTGATTTGACTATTCTCTACTTTCTTTTCCACTAAATTTAACGAAGTAAAAAACGCACTTAAATTGTCGACGTCTTTATCTTCGTTCATAAATTTAATTGATTTTGAAATTTCTTAAAATTGAACTTAAAACTAAGAATCCTTAAAATTATTTCCACCGTCCTAACCAGGGAAGATGAAAGGAGAACAATAGGAATTTTGGGCACTAACCTTGATTTCTCTTAGTCGTCAGCCTATTCTTCCTATTGGAATTTTCCTTGCGTAGCACTGCTTGCGGGGGTGATTTCTTGCCTTCCTTGCCCTCAGTCGAACTCAATCACGTTGGGTTTGTCAGACAGTCTATCACTGGTTCGTTTTGGAGTCTAAGGGTTGAAACCCACGTTTCGCGATCAAATCGTCCCGATGACGTGGCTTTGACCGAAAACTACCCCAAATCCTACTGACTGCGCCAGTTAAGGTTTTCTAACGAAGGATCTCGTTTTTAAAAAACACTTTTTATATTACAAATAGAACTACGAGGTTTTATTTAACCTGCTACAAGGAGAACTGGACGCAATGTACAAAGTTGTTATATATATAAAGTTTTTATGCAAGCGTCGCGTCGCAGATACTGGGAATACTGAAGCTAGCATTTCATCAGCATATTCTATCACATAATTTGTTGCATGCTATACTTTTTCTATGACCATTAGTTTTTGGGTAAATAGTATATTTTCTACTTCCGTCTGTAAAATACCTAATTACGCACCGATATAGCGTGTGGGAAGTGTCGCTTTACCACGTCAGTTTCGTTTCCCACTTCGGACATTTCCGGGATTTTACCGCACGCGTTTGGGAGCAATCGAATGATTTCGGAGATATTTCTCACGCTTTGAATTTTGACGTTTGCCAATTCTGACAGTCATGTCAGTAAATGTATTCGTGTTTTGCGAAAATGTACCCAAAAACTGACTGTCGTAGAAAAACTATAGTATGCAACACGTTCGGTAAACTTTTTAACTCACTCGTTTATTAAACACTCGCTCCGCTCGTGTCAAATAAACTCGTGAGTTTGTTTGACACGAGCGGGGCGCTTCCCGCACGCTAGATCCGTGTGTAATTAGATATTTTATAGACGGGAGTAGAAAAAATACTTAATTACATACCGATATAGCTTGCGGGAAGAGTCACTTTACCACGTCAGTTTCGTTTCCCACGGATCTGAGCCACCTCGGACATTTACACGATTTTACCGCACGGGTTTAGGAGCAATCAGATGTTTTCGGAGACATTTCCCACGTGTTGAATTTTGACGTTTGTCAATTCTGAGGTCATGTCGGTGGATGCATTCACGTTGCTTTGCAAAAATGTACCCCAAAGCTAGCGGTCGTAAAAAATGCAACACGTTTGGTAAACTTTTTAAATCACTCGCTGCGCTCCGCTAGTGCCAAATAAACTCGTGACTCAAATGCCATTTATTGTTGCAGGGGCCTCACTGAATCGTCAATATTTAAGTAAGTGATGCTATGAGTACTTACGTCACCCTTAAACGGCGAAGTGAACAATAACGCTCGAGTCAGCTCCTTCGGCCTGGCTACCAAAAAAGTGTAGAGCTGAATACTTATAGGCACAGTGAAATTTATTAACTTCTTATTATCTTCTGTAATGGTAAAAGCGCATGCGCCAAGCGCCACCGTTTTGTTGTGCACTTTCTCCAAGATACCACGGGGAATGTTGAAAGTGGTTATGCTTGACGTCTCGGCTGATGTCGCGGTTTCATTGGTAAACTTTGATAAGTTTGAGTTGATGTTAGTCGTCTTTACGATCTCTACCGTGTAAGTGAAGTTCAAATTTTTCGCTAGTTCCTTGATTATATCAAACACTAGACCTCCATATTCGACCACGTCTCCGGTTTGGTTCGTTTTTAGTATTTGCCAAGGCGGATTCTGGAAAAATAAGCAAGCGCTTCGTTAAAACCACTTGACGTAAACCTTCACGAAAATTTAAAACTAATCAAAAGCTAAGCTCTGCGTGTCACAACAACGAGGCGCAATTGATAGGGTGAATCAAAAAATTAACAATTTCTTCGAAAACCACTTATCTGATATTAATAAACGCAGAATCGCTTTTGAAATGAAAATTAAAGTCGTTTGCTATGGGGCCCAATTCTCAATAATATATAAATTATTTTGATTTGCATCTATATAGTTTTAATATCGTAATCGAATAGTAGATTACATTTTTATAAAAAAACTTTATGAACTTAATTTAAAGAACTTCTTCACATTCGATGTAGGTTTCAATGCAGACTAATAAATTGGTACAGCCGGACGAATCTACGATGAATATTGTAAAATATTGGTCATTTTGAACATCTACAAAGTCAAGGTGTACAGACAACTACGAAATATGACTAACATGAAAACTCGTTGTTACCAAACCCTACAACAAATTACTAAGTCAGGAAACTATGATTTTTTTTGCATATCAAACTGTTCTTGTGATTAGCTTACAAACGGACGAAGATTTCGAACTGCAATTTTCCAGAAATAATTTTATTTAAATTAATTAAATAATTACAAATTTTATTTATTTGTTTAGAAGCTGCAGTGATTTAAATAATTAAAAATTAAAATATTCACAAGCATATTTGTTTAGAATTCCATTGCTTTTATTTAATTTTTAAATAAGAAACATAATTTCAATTAAAGGCAATGGAAGTATAAACAAATAGATCAAACAGATTCACCCACTTTTATAAGCCTCAGATAATCATCCCATTTGTTTAAAGTCAGGGAAAGAGATGGGCATAGACAAATATTAACAAGCGTTACGCAAAATTTTGCGCAAAACCAGAAAACGTGCTATATATGCTGCTCCACTTGAATCTTCAAAGTTGTCATCTAATTCCAGTTGAATTGGCAACGCTACAAGTGCGTAAATACTTCAGAAAGATAGATCATGACGCACTATACCCATTTACCAAATTTAAAAATAAAGACCTATTTAGTCCTTTAGAACTTTATATAGGACAGGCATCTCAAAGCTCTATAGAAATCAATTGATCAGAATACTCACGTGAAATGATACAAAGGGTAAGTTTTTGCCTCTAAAGCCATGGGCGATGTGAGGGAATAACTCGTCCTTCATCGAGGGACCGTCACTAGGTCTCCAAGTTCCCACAGGTAATATTTCTGCGATAGAATCTGACTGGTAGTCTTGGGTCTGATACTCCCTTCCCCAGGTTTCTGATGTCTGTAAAGTCCACTTTGTGCAATTATCGCAGGCCCCGAGATCGACAAGATATTTCTGAAAATGGATAAATATGGATTAATCAGTTGATTGATAAAACGGCGTTTCAGTAGCACCTTGACTTTCTGAAGCAGAAAGTTGCTCCTCTCCAGTTTTGTAGGTCGTATGGCTTCCCATTCTTCTTCCGAAACTTGAGCGGCCATTTCGAATTCATCAACGATTGCATCATCCAATGCCAATATGAAATCGCCAAGAATTTGTTCGACGTGACACACCATTCCTCCCTTAAACTTAATACTTTTTGGAATTCACAAGGAAAAATAGGTATCTGTTTTACTTCACACATGTGACTGGATACCGACGAATTAAAAACAAAGCCGACATTGTCGCCTTCTTTCAGCAGTCTTTTGAATTTTTTCATATTGCTGATTTTGCTGTTGGTGTCAGATATAACGTACAACCACTGGTTCTTAATGTCCACCAAGTTTAGTTGCTTAGCGTACTCCATTATTAAGTCGACCAGTTTGTACGAAACTATTACTAAGAAATTACCACCGACCCGTGTGGAACTGATTGTCGACAATTTATACTTAATATTTAGGCGTATTTCGTCCATAGTCGCAAAATCAATCAATTCCATTAGAGATATCCCTGAAGCTGACATTTTATTAGCCGGTTTAGTCAACGATTTGATTACTCTAGTTAGTAAATCGCTGTCTAAAATATACCGATATGTGAACGCTGGTGACAACTGTTCAAACTATCGTTACTTACTTATGGTGTTGTCGTAGATTAGTACGATCTCCTTCCATTTGTAAATATTCGAAGTGCGTAGATCCAACAATAGCTGAGGAGTTTCTTGTCCGGCTTCTAATATCGGAACGGTGATGGCCTCGTCGGAAGGTAATCGTGGACAGTCGGCCTCTATAATTATTAATAAGTGATCCAGGATAATCAGTTTCGTTTTAAACTGCTTTTACCCGAAATCGCCATGTGGAATACATTTTCGCTGCGGGCGTTGTGAAATAACCTCCATGTATCGTAACAAGAAGCTATACTCAGTATAGCTGTAATATCTGCAATGGGTATCCTGTTAGTCAATTCAATACCTAATTGATAATTTTTTGATTTTGTTAATAAAAAATGCAATAACTTAGTTGATTGGTGTTACAGAAGTAACATGGATCTTATTGACCCTTGGAAATGCAGTCATTTTCTTTTCTAGATCAAGATCTCCTACAAAATATGTTTATGAAATTCGTCACCATATTCTAGATGATGTTTCGAATACCATTGATCTGAGAGTTACATTGGATGCACTTATCATATTGATAACGACGTTAATAAACCTAGATACTTGGTTCGTTAGGAAAAGTATTTCACCAGTATAATGCGTTAACATATTTGTATTATCGTTCTCTTGTGCGCCTTCATCTCGAATAAGCCACTTGTGTCTGGTTTCCAACGTATGATGTACGTACAATTCTCAATACTATAAAAATTATTTTGATATGCATCTATATAATTTTAATATCGTAATCCAATAGTAGATTAAATTTTTATAAAAAAAAAATTAAGAACTTAACTTAAAGAACTTCTAATATCACATTTGATGTAAGTTTCAATGCAGACTAATAAATTGGTACAGCTGAACGAATCTAAGATCAATATTGCAAAATATTGGTCATTTTGAACATCTATAAAGCCAAGGTGTACAGACAACTACGAAATATGACTAACATGAAAACTCGTTGTTACCAAACCCTACAACAAATTACTAAGTCAGGAAACTATGATTTTTTTTGCATATCAAACTGTTCTTGTGATTAGCTTACAAACGGACGAAGATTTCGAACTGCAATTTTCCAGAAATAATTTTATTTAAATTAATTAAATAATTATAAATTTCATTTATAATTATCAAGCACTAATGATCACACAGTGATTTAAATAATTAAAAATTAAAATATTCACAAGCATATTTGTTTAGAATTCCATTGCTTTTATTTATTTTTTAAATAAGAAATATAATTTTAATTAGGTATAAACAAATAGATCAAACAGATTCACCCACTTTTATAAGCCTCAGATGATCATCCCTTTTTTAAATTCAGGCAACCAACTCCTTTCAGTTAGTCGAGCATAATTTTCCACAATTACGACGATGCTTAATAATTAGTAGTAGTATTACAGTCTCTCTTTACCCTAATCTATCTGTAGTAATCATCATTTCTTATTTGATCTACGATACCATACGTTGGCTCAAGTATAATATACAGGGTGTTATTTAATGAGTGCCCGTTAGTTTACAGGGTGATTTCTCAGTCATTTTTAAGTTAAAAGGTTGCTATAAACGTTTACATATAAAAAAGTAAATATAAGCAAGATTGTCCGATTTTGCAGCCTATTTGATATTAAATACCACACATTAAACCTTGCCCATTCGTTTTCTTGTAGCAAATGATATAAAGCTAACAAATTTTAAATCTGCAATTTAATAATTAAAATTTTAACTTTCTTCCTGTATTACTTGGCATTCAAATAAGACATGGTCGGATCAATGATGATTAATTTATCACTGGGTTAATTTTAATCAAAACTATCGGTTCGATCATGTCAGAATACTCAAAGAAATTTTTATGTACCCTACGAATATTACCTCGCTTTGTATTAATTGCCGTCCAACTATAGTAGATTACGTTCACTCCTCCATGTCGTAAAATCTCTCGCTTCGCGTAAACAAGGTACTCTTCAATTTTTAGTCGTACGTTTTCATATTCCTCAGCAAGATATTCTCGATCTAGTACGACGGCTTGAATTAAAAGACAATACATTAATTTGCTGTGTTTCCATTGTCAGTTTTCAAACAAAATTTATGATCATTTGAATAACTGGACTTTCCAGATTTACATATTGTTCAATTTTTTGAAAACTGACATCATTTATTGAATTATTACAACGCTTTTATTAATTTCTTTGGAGGACGGGCCATTGCCATATTTCTGTCAAAGTTAAGATTCAGTGCGTGGGTGTCAAGCTTTGGAGAGGAGTGAAGCACCATCCTATTTCACAATTTTTTATTCAGTGTCGCAGATATCAATATTTCTCTATTATTATGTGATGGAGGGACGTATTTTTCTATCGAAAATGTTTAATTCTTTTAAGCATTTCATTAAACAAGTCGCTCTGCATATATGTTAACGCAACTCACAATGTATTTGAACTCGCTTAACAAAGTCACTATTTACTATTTATATTTCTACTACTAGTTTGTTAGGGAGCGGAGCTTCTCGCGATAGAGGTCGAATATTCTAGCCGTCTCCCCAAGATGATGATAATTACGCTTCAACTTACGCGTTACGTCCAAATTTCAGTCGCTCGTCACATATATTAAAATTTATGAACCATAAATAATATCGCATGCAAGATAATTGAAATGCGATACTTGCCCTATTTTCTGGTCTTATTTTACGCCTTATTTAACTTGACTTTTGAAAACGCCGAAGTCTGTTTTATCATCTTGTCTGTATTTAATTGTCTTAATTTTTCACAGTCTCTTCTTGTATTTTGTCAAGGGCCTTATCGAAATCAATAACCAGGCAATTCAACTATGTACGTGCTGTAGGGTAGATACTGTGTCAAGAACAATACTTACGGAATACTCAAACGAAAAAAAAACGAATAGAAGAACTGGAAACTGGCACTTTTTGTTGTTTGGTCAGTTTTTACTCTTTTTACTCTTTTTAATTTCCACATAATAAACATTGTTTTTATTTTCTTAAATCTTAAATTTTTTGATATTTTGAAACTGTTGGTATGTATTTATTCATAAATGCACACAAATAAAATCGAATTTTTAAATTAGCGGAAAAAGCTACTACCCTCTTCGGTTAATGTTTAATTAACTTTACAACTTCTTTTGAAAACTTTGGTAGTGCTTTATAATTCTCATAGTATAATGATCTATCAAACTGTTTTTGCACTAATTTTCAAAACCAAACTTACCCAAGGTAGCATTCGTAGCAAGAAGAGAAGGAAAACTGTCTGCCTGAGCATAATTAAAAACCAAACAAATCACAAACATAACACCAAAAAGCATGTCTGCAACATATCCGTCAAATCGAAGAACCTGCCCTTTTTATAAAGTAAACTCGATATGAACCAATTATTATTTCCAGAGTTTCCCGTAACATTTTCGAATCGAGTTATGAATCTTAAATTTTTCCGCACGTGCACCCGTCCGACCCGGTTATTATGATCTGACTCGAACATGGGGTTCTAAGACTCCAAAAGGTCGTAATCAAAAATTAATGGAACGATATCATCAATCTAGGTTAACGGCAACTCGGTTGATTTTGGTCAAGGTTTATTTCGTGAAGGTTTCAGACATTATTTATTTTAAACTATCAATAACACATAGGCATCCACCAGATGTAGTCACGATCACGAAATTATAAAACAATAAAAATATGAATCGAATAATAATTAAATCAGTCTAATAAGGGTACGGTCAAATTATAAATGACAACCCTACACTAAATTTAAATTTCACAAAGTAGTTGGTCAAATAGCTTTAAAAAAGTTATCTGAGGGAAAAGGAAGGGATTTGAAGCTCCTTAAAACATTGAAGTCTTTCATTGAATATTTTAATTTCATATTTATATGTTTTTCTTTCTATTGTGTCCACTTCCTCAAAAACTTTTTCCATTTCTCTCAAATATATCTCGATAAGCCTGTTATTAGCAAAAAGTCCATTGCCGTTAAATGGCAGAAAACAGGTGAATTTATTCATCACATAGTTCAATTTTTATCATTATTTTATGTAGTTCTGTTACTTAACAGAGAAAAAATCATACAACTCGTTATCTTGGGATGATTGAAATGTTCCAGAAATTCCTTAAGTGGTGTTATAATTAGGGAGAATTTTTTTCTCCTCCACAGAAAGTCGCTTTCATTCGCAACCGTATTCGCTACCAAATCATTGATTTGGCGTGTATATTAGCATGTATATACTAAGCACCTAAATACTCATGGGAAACAAACAATTAAACAACTTAATTGCATGCTTGAAGCTACAGTCCCTATCTGTAAATGGACAACTGTTTGAGTGAAGCAGAAGCAGAAATTAACGGAAGGCATTTTAAATAAATCAACTTAGATGGTCTGAGCATGTGCAAAGGAGAATGGGACACCCAAAGAGGTATAAATGAATATTTATTGGAAACACACTTTAGCGACCAGTTTCAGATAAGCAGGTAGAAGTTTTTCATAAAAATCTATCTTTAAGAACTAACTTTAACTTAAAAAACTACCTTTGAAACCTTTGAAAAACTGTTTTTACAAATTCTGCACTGACTTCAAAACAAAATTACCTTTTATTATATTAGATAACTTATAAACAGTTAATAAACTATAAACTTTTGAAAAGCGCCGGAGATGTTTGTAGTTAGTAACATCTATATATATATATATATATATATATATATATATATATATATATATATATATATATATATATATATATATATATATATATATATATATATATATATATATATATATATATATTTAGATCCCGCTATCTTCCGAGCGTCCTTTCATGGATCGCTCTCTTAGCGTCCAGTATCGTTTTCTTCAAGATCCCTACTTTAACAAGTGAATATTTTTAAGTTTGGTAAACGAGATGGCGTTGGGTTTCCTTAGGCCAGATTTTATGAAGATCATTTTTATGAAGTTTTGTGATACTAATATGTCGGCGTCCTTTCATAGAGATGAGTTGCTAGCGTCCAATATACACGGGAAAACTTTTATATTCCAGCATCCCAGCGTCCTTGTGTATATTTTTCATTTATTGCGCAGATTTCTGAGCGTCCGAGCAACGTTGCCCGATTGATTGTGTATTAAAGTACATATAAATAGATATCGTATTTAGGACACGCTTCTCCTTTTTAACATGACGGTGCACAGCGGGTATAAGGCGATTCATATTTTCGCCATATTTTGGAAAAGACTTTCTTGCGAACTGTTTTATATTTTTATTTTATTATATTTGTTTTGGTAGATTTGTTAGTTTTTAAAGCTCTTTGCTAAACTTAATTTCTTTGTGTAGATGTTTTCTTTAATACGTCGCCCGATTGATTAATTTTAATGCAATATGTTTGCCACAAATATTGCACTTGCATAAAAAGTGAAATCTACACCATTTTTTTACAACTTAATAATTGAAAATGAATACTAATATTAATTTTTCAAAGAATCTTCCACAGGCTACTGTAATACTTTTTACAAAACTTTTGGATTTCCCCTGCGTCGGTTTTTGCAACTTGTTGACGTTTTGCTGTTGGCTTGTTCAGAGCTTGACTGAAACCGGCTCGCATTTTACTCTGTACCTGCTTATATATGAGGGGCATAAACACCGTGACAGGTAGAGACCTAAGTCGCGGTTAATATTTTTAGATTGTTTGTAAGTTTCTATAGACTCCCGGATTTTTCGGTGGCAGAAGAATTGATTACATGCAAGAATTTTAGTTTTGTCAAATAAAATTTTATGACCGGTTTCGTGATTGTGTTCGGCAGCAGCTGCTAAGTTTATTTGTCTTAGCCGTAACCCTCTTTCGTGTTCTTTGTGCCTAGTTGATATTTTTTGTCCGGTTTCTCCAATGTATTCTTTGCCGCATATGCATGGAATGCTGTAAACTTCTGGCATCTCATATGGAATTTTATCTTTGACGGACCGAAGATGTCGAGAGATTTTGGACAAGTGGTATATTCCGGGATATCATCCGTTCGCTTGTTGAACTCCGACTGGAATCCTGCAGACGTTTCGCCAAAATCTCACTTGGCATCTTCAATGCTCGCGCTCCGAAAACAGTTCGAAGTGTTTTCGGAGCGCGAGCATTGAAGATGCCAAGTGATATTTTGGCGAAACGTCTGCAGGATTCCAGTCGGAGTTCAACAAGCGAACGGATGATATCCCGGAATATAATGTCAGCATATATAGATATATATATATATATATATATATATATATATATATATATATATATATATATATATATATATATATATATATATATATATATATATATATATATATATATATATATATATATATATATATATATATATATATATATATATATATATATATGTACAGGGTTTTTCACTTAAAACTCCGCACGCCAATAACTCCAAAACGAAAAGAAATATTTAATTTATGTAAAAAGTAGTCAAAGTGTGTGTCAAGTAGATATTTCCTAAAGTTTAAAAAATTCGACGCCTGCAAAGAGCTGGGCGTCGCGACGCGTCGAAAAATTATTCGATTGCAGAGACTTTGGAAATACGCGCATACAAAAGTACATATTATTTAAAAACTTTTTTGTTATTTACTCAAACTTATTTACTTTACCCGTTTCTAAGTTATACCGATTTAAAGTAAACATTTCTTGATTAATAAAAAATGTGATTAACGCTTATTTGTACAAGTATGCCATGAATGTTAGTTACTATGGCAACCATTGTTATCGCAGTTGTTTTAAGTGCAATTACAAACGTAAGTTGTTATTGCTGTATCAAAAATTTGTCACTTTGTCACAAGAAATATCCAAATTTGTTCGGTTTAAAAAAAACTAAGAATTATTATGTGAAAATGGTGCAATTTAGCAATGAGGAAAAAGTAGACATGTTACTGGTGTTTGGAGAATGCAGATGCAATTGTAGAGAAGCAAAAAGAGTTTACGCACGGCGTTATCCGCATAGAAGAGTCCCCGATGCAAAAACCTTTTCAAGTTTATGTAAAAACTTAAGAGAATATGGCAGCTTCATAAAACCTAAAAGAGATAGGAACAGGACGGCTACAAATGATGAAAATACTGCTGATAATAACCCCAAGATAACCCTATCAGAGATAAAAGAAAATACCGGTGTTACCATAAGTTCTTCGTGGAGAATTCTACATAGAAACTCTTTTCACCCGTACAAAAGTAAACTAGTTCATAAACTAGAACCAGGCGATTATGCTAGAAGAATGTATTTCTTAGCGACATTGTCCGATTTGTATAGCCAAGATGCAAATTTTCTCTCGAAAATTTTATGGAGCGACGAAAGTCGATTTCAAAATAATGGAATCGTTAATAGACACAACTGTCGTTTTTGGTCCGAAAACCATCCTCGTTGGATTACAGAAAGAGGTAACCAACGAATTTTTAGTATCAATGTTTGGTACGGCATATTAAATGGATTCCTTATTGGACCTTACTTTTACGAAGGAACTTTAAATGCAGATCGCTATTTAAGATATCTTCAAACTACACTTCCGGAACTATTAGAAGAAGTGCCTCTTGACACTAGAATGAATATGTGGCTACAGCAGGATGGAGCGCCTGCACATAATGCCCAAATAGTAACGAGGTATTTGAACCGAGAATATCCCAATAGATGGTTTGGTACTAATGGACCGGTAAGGTGGCCGGCGAGGTCCCCGGACATTACACCACCAGATTATTTTCTTTGGGGCTACCTAAAAAACGTTATCTATGAAGAACCTATCGAAGATATGGCTGATCTCATTAACAAAATTAGTGCAGCGTGTGCCGCTATCACAAGAAGGACTCTCCTACAAGTGACCCAAGCTCATCTGTTAAAAGTTTTTGATAGTTGTGTTCGAGCAGATGGACATAATTTTGAAAAAAATTTTTGAAATGTCTTATTATGTAGTTAATTGCAATAATAATTTTGGTTATTAACTTGTAGGTATTTTACTGTTTTTTCATTTATTTATCATGTTATCAGAACTAAATCGATAAAAAATAATAAATAAAATCATACTAAAATAGTTGAAATCTATTGTTTGTAATTGCACTTAAGACAACTGCGATAACAATGCTTGCCATAGTAACTAACATTCATGGCATACTTGTAAAAATAAGCGTTAATCACATGTTTTATTAATCAAGAAATGTTTACTTTAAATCGGTATAACTTAGAAACAGGTAAAGTAAATAAGTTTGAGTAAATAACAAAAAAGTTGTTAAATAATATGTACTTTTGTATGCGCGTGTTTCCAAAGTCTCTGCAATCGAATAATTTTTCGACGCGTCGCGACGCCCAGCTCTTTGCAGGCGTCGAATTTTTTAAACTTTAGGAAATATCTACTTGACCCCACACTTTGAATACTTTTTACATAAATTAAATATTTCTGTTCGTTTTGGACTTATTGGCGTGCGGAGTTTTAAGTGAAAAACCCTGTATATATATATATATATATATATATATATATATATATATATATATATATATATATATATATATATATATATATTGTCTGGGTTGATTAATAATTCAATGCTGAACATATTTTCTAAATAATTTTGTGAATATAATTGCACCAAAATATTTCGAAAATAAATATCATCACCTCTTATGATTGTCTACCAAATATGAAAAAGTTCTCTAGCTCAATAAAACACTAAATTCTTTATAACACAAAAACTTACAACGCTGTCAAGAGTCGAAAAACGTTTTTAAGTCATATGATTATTTTCTCAAGAAACCATTTCATTTTTTAAAATGGAATATCACCCGATCACTCGCTCAATAAAACTCTAAATTCTTTATAACACAAAAACTTACAACGCTATCAAGAGTCGAAACACGTTTTTAAGTCATATGGTTATTTCGTCAAGAACCAATAAGGCCCTTTCATTTTTTGCTAATTTGAGGCATCCAGTATCTTTTACCATTCCCGAGAACCCTGTATATTCTCCACAGATGTATGTCATTCGTTCGGATTCACCATGAATCAAATTTTCTTAAGGTCAAACGACAAAAACAAAAACCTCGTTTATCAGCAATTATCATAGCGTCATCAAAGTGGTTTACATATTGTTCCATTTGTTTAAATAGTGAAAGTTTCCTAACCCGTTGAAAATGGTTTTAAGTAAAACTGTTAGATTTCTCACGAAAGTAAATAAGCAAAAGAATTACCAGGTAAGCAAGAAAATGTATCTCATCTGCTGAATTATATGTATACATAATACAAATAATTCAATGATTTCATTGTATGAATTTCTGACGAATAACCTAACAAAATTACGCCGAGTTCCAAGTTCATTTCGGAAAGCAGTGGCGTAGTCGGTTTCATTATTACATGAAGATTATATATATATATATATATATATATATATATATATATATATATATATATATATATATATATATATATATATATATATATATATATATATATATATATATATATATATATATATATATATATATATATATATATATATATATATATAATTTTATTTATGTAACTCGCTTTATGGTTATTTTGTGTTTTGTTTAATATTTTCATTTATTTGTTATTATTGATTTATAAAATAAAAATAAATCATGTGCAATTGGTGTAATATAAACACATCTTCCAACCACCATCAAAAACACCAATCAGGTAGAAAAATTGGGAAATAATATAAAACACTCTCTTATTATACTTATTTGCTGTAACAAAGAAAAGAATACCCACGACTGCTAGTCTCCCTCTAAATCACATTTGCCTCACACTTCCGTTTAGATCGAGTTCACTGGCAAAAAATTCAAACATCTCTAGATCTAGATGAAAAAATCGTTCAAATTGGGATGGAATAGAAAACACACCATCATCTTACTGTCAGTGTAATTTTTTGTATATTGTTTACTATAAAAAAATCATTTAATAAATAAATGTAATTACAGAAGTTTCTTTCGACGAAAGTAGCGGATTTTCCTGGCGCAAGAACATCGTGGACAGAATCACTGTATTTTACGAAACCGTCTTCATATGGGCCGATACCGGTTTATCGAGTCATGGATAGGCAAGGCAACGTCCTGGTTCCGTCCGAAGATCCCAAATTGCCAAATGCAACGTTACTCAAAATGTACAAAGATATGGTATTATTAAATTCAATGGATAAGGTTTTGTATGAGTCTCAGAGGTATACATGTGGTGTCATATGCTCTGTTCTATGTGTAACATCTTCTACATACCAGACAAGGGAGAATATCTTTCTACATGACAAATTACGGAGAAGAAGCCACCCATATTGGCAGTGCCGCCGCACTCGAGCTTCAAGATGTAGTTTACGGGCAATATCGCGAAGTTGGGGTGTTACTCTGGAGGGGATATACTCTTCAGCAGTTTGTCGATCAATGTTACGGCAACGTTGACGATCCCGGCAGAGGAAAGCAGATGCCTGTTCATTATGGTTCCAAAAAATTGAATTTTGTTACAATATCCAGTCCGCTTTCAACGCAAATGCCTCAAGCTGTTGGCTCTGCTTACGCGTTAAAAGGTATTTTAATTTTTATACAAAAGCACAAATCTCTTCGTCAAATCTGTTACAGAACTGTGTTTTCTTTACCATTTACACCATACCTATATTTAATAGGATTAAATAATAAGAAATAGTAATAGTAATTAGATGTCACTTCAATTGGACGTACGTCAATTAGAGGTATTCTACATCTTAAAATAAAGATAAAGGTTCTTGTAAACTAGGCTCCAAAAATGGTTCGTTTTTCAGATATTGGAATGGTGATTTTTGGTTTGGCTTTAGGTACGAAACAGGTAGTGATCTGTTACTTCGGCGATGGAGCTGCATCTGAAGGAGATGCTCACGCTGCTTTAAATTTTGCTGCAACGCTCGACTGTCCGGTTATATTTTTCTGCAGGAATAACGGGTACGCCATATCCACCCCTGTCAATGAGCAATACAGAGGCGACGGTATCGCCGCCAGGGGGCCTGGGTACGGTATAAACACAATTAGAGTTGACGGGAACGACGTTTTGGCGGTTTACAAGGCTACCGAATTTGCGAAAAACTACGCTAGCGAACAAAATAAACCGGTGTTGATTGAGGCGCTTACATACAGGTTTAAAAAGGATCTTGTTCGAATGGGATTATATTAACTAACTGTTTAAATATCGTAGAGTCGGAGACCACTCGACTTCCGATGACAGTTCGGCTTATAGGTCGCCAACAGAAGTATCGCAGTGGGCGACTAATGACTATCCAACCAAAAAATTGCGATATTATTTGGAAACCAAAAATTTATGGAACGACGAACAAGAAAAAGCTCTGATTGAGGAATCGAGAAAAAATGTGCTGACTGCTTTCAACGCCGGCGAAAAAAAACTGAAACCCAGGTGGACTGAAATGTATGAAGGCGTTTATAAATTTATGCCGCAACACATCAAGTAAGAAACTAGAAAATATATGAATTACGTCGTAAATACTATCGTTTCTAGAAAACAAAAGGCTGATATGGAAGATCATCTTAAAAGATACAAGCAACATTATCCCACAGATGTTTTTGTGAGCTGATTCGTTATGATTATATATTATTTTATAATAAATTAAAAATTGGTTGAGTCAGTTTCTTTCACTAGTTACGCCACTGGTGAAATTTGTTTCATTTAAGTCGTTCGTGCTTACCATCAATGTTCTAGGCTAACATAGCAATATCATAGTAGGAACATTATTTTCTCCTCTTCTTTTTAGTGATATTTCTATTCTGCAAAAATTATTCGCCAAACACCAAAAAAGAATATTATAAAAAAATCTTAAACCAGTCCTTTTTTAAAGCCAAAGGGTTTCCATTGTCGTCTCATCTACAAAAACGGCACACAAATTACGGGGGGTAAACAAATTAATAACTAACCAGAAATACATATTCAATTCCTTGAAGTTAAATTATAAAAGCTCACCCAAGTATAAGAAGGAGTTAAACATTTGACCGCAATCCAATGTTGCCGGCTCTAGTTCGTCGGTTTTTAAGGTAAAACATTCAATGCCCCCTCAAGGGAACGCCATGCTTTTATTTGGATGACCAGAGACCATAGAATAATAGCAAACATGACTTTAGGCGATGTTACCTAAATATACTTGAAATTAACTAACTGAAAGTTATGCGTGACCTCACAAACTGGCGTTAGACTAATGCCTAATGACTAATGATTTTCTGATTTTCGTAAAGATTTGTTTTAATTTACGGAATTATCATTACACTTTACTGAAAATACCTTACATTCCCAATTTAAATATATTTGATAATTACAAGTAAATTTTAAAAAGGCACAAAGTATATCGTTCAGTTTCAACATTTTCTGTGATTTAGTTTCATGATTTCCAAAAATTAAATAAGACAAACGACCCAACGGGGCCGAGGATGGCTCGATTCGTAAGGCGTAAAACCTGCCAACTCGACTTGCCAGAGGTTGTGGATTCGATTCCCACCGGGAGCCACCGGGAGGTGTTGTGTGAGTAAAAGAATTGTTATCGGTAAATTTTCATCGGCAGATGCCGGAAATTTGAGATTAGCCCAATTAAGCGTTTATAAAAAAGCGACCAAACAGCTGACTGAAATTCAACCATTCAAAGTAACCTGTTATGCGAAACCAGGTTACATTTCTATGAAATGTAATGTCCAGAAAGGAATTGGCTTTTGGTTGTTAATGTTTCCATTATCTAAGGCATGGAACATTAATGTGTTATGATAATTTCGAAAAATTTAAATAAATGGATTTTAGGTAAATAATGATAACTAGCGAATTAATCTAGTTTATCACTTAAGACCTCCATTCTTAATTTAATAGGATGACTCTTTCATTGACATACTGGTTGTAAACTAGGACAGGATGAAAATTCAGAATGCCCTAAATGTGATATATTTAATTTCCTTTACGGTATTTATTTGCCCCAAAAATGTTGGTAAATTTTCCAAGTCCTACCATTTTTTTAGGATCTATTTGCTATTGGGATAATATTTCCTGTATTAAACACGCATTTAAGAAGTTTGGGCGCTTCTCATACACTAGTGGGTGTGTTTTCATCTGTTTATTCAGGAGTTCAGGTTTTGTCAGGTCCTGTAGTTGTAAGTCTCTATTAAGTACTTCACTTGAATAGAATATTTTATTTAAATATTTAGGGAGGATGGAGTGACATCAAAGAGAGAAAATCTGTTTTGGTAAAAGTATCACTGATATGTGGACTCTGTTATGCTTTATTGGGTGTCACAGATTCCCTATCATTTATTTTTGCAATAAGGATTGTATTAGGTAATTAAATAATACAAAAATGTGAATTGTTATGTCTAGGAACTCTTTTTCATATGTTGAGGTTGTGTTAAGCACATTCAAAGCATATGCAAGGCTGTGATAGCAGATATCGTACCTATTGAAAATCAGACTGAAGCATTTGGAAAATCGAATGCAGTATCTGCATTAGGTTTTATTCTTGGACCATTTATTGGAGGTCATTTGGCAGAATTTGAAAATGGCTTCATGTATGTGGGTTTGCTTACGATGTTATTGTTTTTCATTAATATAGGTAAGATTTTGAATTGCACACACACATTTTCACAATCGGAATTTTTAATTGGCCTATTTAATCTTTTCCAGGTTTGATATTATGTTTACCAGATGTTTCAAATAAGAAAAATGACAACCACAACACCACAGAAGAGTTAGAAAAAAATCTGTTTACTCAAGTCATACATGAACTAGGAAAATCTGCTGCAGATATGTATACCATTGATTGGAATCAGTTTTATGAGCCATTTTTATTACGTTTTTTATTTGGTTTGTCAGTTTCCACATATTTTACTAACCAGTCTTTGCTACTTAAAGAGACATATCTCCTTACTCAAAAGCAAATAGGCTATGTCATATCTTACTTTAGCACCATTGGTCTTTTTTCCTCCTTCTTTTTGGACAAAATAAATGGGTTATACAAAAGTGGTGATTGTTTGTCAAGGATTTTTCATTTTTTTATTATTCTAGCTCTTTGTATCTTGACAATCTATATTGCTCCTAATTTATATATACTTCTTGTTGCCCTAATACCACTCTCTTTTTCATCTACTGTGTTGCGAGTAGTTACTATGGAATTGATACTAGCAAAAACTTCAGGATTGCATCGAGGGTCATTATCAGGAGCCTCAAACAGTGTTATGTCTATCTCCAGGTTTATCACACCATTACTGAGTGGAATTTTGGCCGATAAGCTTGGAGAACACTCTGTGATTCTTGTGGCTGTAATTCCAGCAATTTTTGGGGTTTTTGTGTCATTAAGATTAAAAGCAATGGCTTTATCTGAAAAAAGGGTTTTGACAAACTAGTTTTGTAAGATGCGTACTGTGATATTTCTTGTTTTGTTAACTTACCCATACATTGAAATACTGTTTGATTATTGTTATAGGGCCTGTCCGTATTTTTTTTGTGTGAATTTATTATTAAATGACTCAAGATTTGGTCTATGTTTTTTAATATTTCCGTCAATAAAAATTGGCAGACAAATTCATCTTCATTTATGTATCACTAAACTAATAGAGATAAGCAAACCTGCCAAGATAAGTCGCCCTTATGCGACATTGATCAAGGATTATGCATGGATGGTTACTAATGCACTCTCCTGGCATCTATAGTTTTGCCATTGCCATTACTGTTACGAAGAAATTCAATGTTCTAATAGTTATGTGGAGAATAACCATTTTTGTTTGTAATAAATCTCATCTTGATACTTTAGGACGAGCCGATTTCGCTCACTGAATCAATTAGCTAATAGACTCCTTGGTTAAAAACGAGATTTTAAATCTTGTGCATGCTCATGTTGAATGGACTTCCTCAAAAATGTTTTCATCGTTGCTTCATAAGTTCCAGTATTATCAGCATAGACAGAGCCTATATATATTTAGTAGCCATATGGTTATTAACCTTCATATTAATTAAAAACAAAACTGTGGTTGTTCATTCCTAGAAAAATGTTTTCGTAAAATTACGCTTTCCGGAACTGTTATTCCTAATGCTTCCTTAAATAAGTATTTGGCGCAACTGGGTGACGACTATTGCCCTTGGGTACATGGCCCAACGAATATTCTCTAAAAATATATGCGGAGAAAAAAAAACGGTCTTTGCTTCCCTCCTATCGAACCTTTTAACAGGATGATCGAAGGTACCTTGCGAAATGTATAATAAATTCCTAAAAAAAGTAACTTTTTTTGTTTCAAAAATACTCCCAACATAAAATATGTAGCAAGTATTGCTGCTGTTATTTTGGATTAATGCAATCAATTTCGCATAGCAAGTTGCTATTAAAGACCCATGTAATTAAAGACAAATCTTGGAATTGAGGGCACATGTACGTCACACACTCGGTTATGCTTTATCGGGAAGCAAGAATCTGCAAACGTGTTAAATTACCATTTATTTATCTCTGTACATTTTAAATTTGACATTAAAATGACAAAGTTTCTAGCTCGTGGCGACCTCTTCAAAAGCTTTTTGTAAAGAAAGGCGTTGCAGGTATTTTTTCATTTACTAAAACGTGAAAATTAAGCCGTACGAATGCAAAAATATTACTTTACACTTCTTTGTTGCCCTAGCGGTACTTCTTCAAAAACTAATTTTTATGAAAATGTTTGTCACTGGTGGCGATGATTACAGATTGACATTTTAGGTAGTTGAGGTACGGGAACAATTGTTCTATTTTTTAGTTTGAATCATGGCTCCACGAAAGGGAAAAGTTCAGAAAGAGGAAGTTCAAGTGTCCTTAGGACCCCAGGTTCGCGAGGGCGAAATCGTTTTCGGCGTAGCACATATTTTTGCTAGTTTCAATGATACATTTGTGCATGTTACTGATCTGTCTGGAAGGGAAACCATTTCTAGAGTGACTGGAGGCATGAAAGTAAAAGCCGACAGAGATGAAGCCTCCCCTTATGCTGCTATGTTAGCTGCTCAAGTAAGTTTGTTTATTAAGGATTGTTGAAAATTTTGTACAGGAAGGAGCTTATTATTGATGTTTTCATGTTATTTAAGTGTCCTTTTATCAAAACGCTGACGATTTTATTGGTCTAGCCCCTCAGTAATTTAAAATAGTGTGCTTTTTATTTACAAAATAATAGCATTTTGCCACCGTCTGAATTTATAAGGTATATAAAATGTTGCAAATAAAGGGGCACTTTGTGTTGTGGACAGTGGATTTATTATTAAAAGAAATCTGAATATGCTTGGAACAAATGAGGGGCAGTATTGCACAGAATAGAGTAAAAGAAAGATTTTGCAAGTTATTATTTTATAAATTTTATCACAACCTACCAAAAACATAGTAATATGTAGACACTTTTCATCACTACTATAATTTTCGATGAATTTCTTTTCCAATCAATAAAATTAAATTTAAAACAGTAAAAATGCTATAATTTCCACTTTAACTATCCTCAGCTGAGAAATACCAGGTGTAAGTTAAGATTGTTAGCTTTTAGCTCCCCAATTTTTTTCTGGGCAGTGAGATAATTAACTAATGCCACTAATAAAATTTGACTAATTGAAGTTCATGTTTTCTCTTATTGAAATAAGTAAAAGTAGCAAAAGTAATAATTAAAGAAGTGTAGCATTGCGTCAATAGACTTAAAATTTTTCTTGTTGAAATTTGAATCTTCAGATTGTTTGAATTTCTTGTATTTGTCCAGAATTAATTGTTTATTATAAGTTTCCATCTTTAAAAAAACAGAAGATTCTGGTCCTATTTGTGAGTACTTGAGAAAGAAAAAGCAGTTCCAAAATATTTGAAACAACATTGACTGGTTTGGTTCTAAAACAGTCCTAGAATTGTGTCAAAATAAACTTAAACGCCAAATTGCTGGTCTCTAAACGGTCCTGTTAACAAAACGTCTTGTCTTTGCAAAGTGACCGCTTCTAGAACACCATTGGCGCAAACCCGAATAAAGCCTTAATAGCTCCAGCGCGTCAAATCTAGTTTCCTTTATTGCAGGATGTAGCTGAAAAGTGCAAATCTTTGGGAATCACAGCACTTCACATTAAATTGAGGGCTACGGGGGGCAACAAAACGAAAACTCCAGGTCCGGGAGCTCAGAGTGCTTTGAGAGCTTTAGCCCGTTCAAATATGAAAATTGGACGTATTGAAGATGTTACTCCGATCCCATCTGACTCGACTCGTAGAAAGGGCGGTCGCAGAGGTCGTAGGTTGTAAGTTACGACTTTGATTTTGTATCTTTGTGTTGAAATAAAAACAATGGCTAAGGTACTATATATTGTTTTCCTGTTATGTGGTAAACCTTTCTACAAGCTCTTACAAAGTTAATATTGACACAAAATTTCACTTAACATAGTTAACCAAAGTACTCTATTTAGTTTTGATTAGAATAAAAACAATTTTAGAAAAATAAAAAAATAATTTTCTAAAATTAACATTAACAAAGTGGAATAAAATTAGGATAAAATAGCAGGTAGAGAATAGTAATATATCCAGACAATTTAACATTTTTGAAAAACTTATAAAAGGCCCAATGAAATTTTTAAAAAATATACAGAGTGTGTTCCATTTATAAATGACTCCTATCTAATTTTTCCAAAAAAATTGAGTACGCCTGTGGGTGCTACGTAAAAATATCTAACATTCTGTTTTTATTATCTCATAGCGTTACAGGGTATTTCAAATACAAAGAGTAGACCAAATCGCAATTTTTTTTGAAGAAAAGCACAGTCAATGTACTTTTTCCCAAGTAATTTTTTGTCTGGAATGAGCTTATGTGAAATGCTTTTAAGAGTTTCATTCATTTTTTGCGCTGCAGTTATATAATTTTTGGGTAATCTTGTTTTGATATCCAAAATTTATCACCTTACTAATTAGAATGCTAAAAATACATGATAAAGAAGGCATGAGCTTAAAGAGATCAAATGGGCATGCTGAGGTCTAAAGCCTCTGGCACAAACTACCGTTTTATGTGAAATTTCTTTTGGGTTCCTTTTATAACTGCGATCCTACCCTAGTTGCATGTATTGTTATATCATTTATTTTCTAAACTGGTTAATGAGCAAAAGAAAACAAATAATTATTATCTGATTTATTAAATTAAATGAATCTCAAAAAGACAAAAAATTAATCATTACAAGATTAAGTTTGGTGTTAAATACAGTTAAAATAAATTACAATATTATTCACCCAGAACCAACAATATTGCCTAATCTTACAAATACCCTCACTTTGTGATCATATTTGTGGGAGGACTCCGAGTCCACAGCCACAGCAGATATAGTAAAACCACAGACCACTTCATCATTCAACGCTGCATCAACTTTTGGAGTTGCAGCCAATTTTATAAATGCTTTGTTGGATTTTCTAAATTTTACCAATCTGAAAAAAGAAATGTAGAGAAAAAACAGAAAGAATTCATTCCCTCATACTTAATATCATCTTCTATATTATGAGGATCTCCACAATCGTCATATTCAGCTGCATCATCCCTTGGCAGCAATATAAAAGAACTCTCTGGCATTGCAATATCGCAGTTCACTTTTTGAATAATTTTTCTGGGTTTGATTGTAATTGAAGGTTGTTTGGATGATAAGCTCAATAGACTGCTGGGTTGGCTCGAAGATAGTGGCAACGAATGAAGAGAGGTCGGTTGTTTCTAAAAAAAAAAGAAAATTTCATTGAATACTTACCAAGAAAATTAGCACAACAGAGCGCACCTGCAAAATAAAAACATGTGTCTTAAATTTTCTATAATACATCAACACACAAAACTTTGCCAATTCTGTAATCCTTAGGGCACTGTGCCAAAAACATATTTTTTTAAGTTTTTAGAAATATTCATCTAAGCCGATAATACAGTCAACAATAAATTTTTAGTACTTATACTACTTGCGTCATGGGTCAGAAAAGAGCTTTTTAAAATTACTGTTAGAGATGAGGTTTGGACCCCTGATATTATTCTTTATATAACCGAATTCTATCAAAATTACGATTTCTTCTGAGCATGAAGCCTAAATTGGGAATTTTATTTACTGCAAAATTATCTTAGGAAGCATCAAGTACATCCTACACCGTCAAAGAAACAATCCTTGTATAGGGTCAACAAAAATTATCTTCGAAACCACAAATTATAGACTTGCGTTAAAATTTTTAAAAATGTAAGTGATCAAAATAAAATACTGAAAATAACTTTCAATTCATATCCATGCCACTAGAGGGTGTTATAGTTATGGAATTAGATATTACAATGGCCATATTCTGTTATCAGCTTTTAATAAAACACTGCTTTAGTAAAATGCATTATTTACCGGACCATAGCTATAATGCCCTAGTGGCATAGATATGAACTTGACAATTTTTTTTACTTTTTTTTTTGGTCACTTGTTATAAAACTGAGTAGTAGTTAGTAAAAAATAAAAAAAAACGTTCATCATAATGAAAGAGCATAAAAAACACCATAGAACAGAACATCATCACTGGCAAACATATAAATTCAAATAATTGCTATTTGTAAGATATGTTAGTTTGGAAAAGCATTAATACTTACTTCTTCCATAGATAAGGTTTGCTCTAAACTTTCTGCAACCTCCTCTGCAGCTTGTTCGCACAGAAGGGCCTGCCCTCCCAAATCCAAGTCCAAAATTTTAATTCTAATTTGATACTGTGTTGGATTTGTAAACTTTAAAATAAGTTCAGAAGTAATACCGGCCCTTAAAGGTTCAATCGTCACTATGCGAATTTCCGGAATGTGGTAACTAAAAACCATTGATTCATTGAGTTGATTATTAATCAACAAATTCTACTTACAAAGCAAATAGCTGAATTCGAAATTTTACCGAATTTGGATTGAACTCTGGCTTGCTGACATTGTGGTCACATCGACGACACCTCAAAGACTGTTTGATAGACAACTGCTTATGAATTGGGAACAACTTGTCGATAGTCTCTGGTTGAGATTCAGGTTGCAATAATCTCTGTTCAATTGTTGTGACTAAAAATAAGTTTTAACTTTTTAATTTTATCCAATAATCACTACAACCTTCTAAAAGATTAACAGGTTTGGTAAAGATATTATCTGGTAAGTCCTCAACTTCAGTTTTGGCTACAGCACTTTCGGGGGGTTTTGGCTGCTTTAACATTGTGTGGGGCACATCAGGCAAACCTAAACGTTTTCTAAGTGCTGATGCTGTGACTCCTGTTCGATCCTATGTAACATAAAAACATGATAAAGACTTAGTAGACCTTTTTGATCGACAATATACTATACCGTGTAACTGACAAATTTTGTTCTATGTTTCCTTTTATCATTTTCCTTTTGTTGTTTACCTGCTGACATCATTTGTTTATATGTATCAAGCAATTCTTGAAGATGATTCGCGTGTACATTTTCACGCACTGGCCATCCTCCAGTTGCTAAAAAAACAATAGTTAATATACTATAACTATAATCAACTAAAATAATACCAGAGGGCTGGTCTGGGATTCCCACATCTCTGGAACTCCACCTGCAGAAGTAACAACACAAGTAATGAGTCTTCTTAATAGGAGATTTCGCATCATCTGGGTTTACAGGTCCCTTGGCAGCGCTCCTTGTAGAAAGATCCTGATGACAGCTGGGGCAAATAAAACAGTTAGCACATCGATTTTTCTTAATCCGGGCTTCGGCCGATGGAATATTTTCTGAACACTTGCCGCAGAAGATTGTATCGACCTAAAATAATTTTATATTAAGTCAAAAATCTTTTACTTTCGATATTATTGTGTACCTCATGACAGAGACAAAAGTGGCAGCGTAACTCGCTGCAATATCTACATAAATATAGACGAGTGATAGGCTTTAAAAGGCCACAAGTACAGGCGTAGAGAACGTATTCTGGACCTGTGATATAAGACATTTTATAGATACTTTTATAATAATAAAATAAAATTAACTACTGAGGTTCTAAAGATTGATCTCATTTAAGTGACACATAACCACAGATCACAGAAGGGAAAACTCTGTCAAACCATGCCACAGACCTTAACTGATGACAGACCGAAGACATCCTACAAGATGAATAGGATAGTTGTTGGGGACCGAGGATGGCTCGGTCGTTAAGCCGTTAGATCTGCCAACTTGACTTGTCGGAGGTTGTGGGTTCCATTCCCACCGGGAGCCTTGCGTGTATTTGTGTGTCCGATTTTAATGACTGGCAAACATTGCCTAATTTACTCGTCGATATATGGAATAATCTGGGCAGAGGTCTAAGTAAAGACGCGAGCTCATTGTATAATAGAAAAAAAAGGATAGTTGCTAATATTATTTTCAATTAAAATCATTGTTCTACTTAGGGGATTTTCTTTAAATAGTCAGGTACAAGTAATTTCGCGTGCACATCTTGTGGCAGCTCGACATGGTTCATTCTCTGCCGCTGTCGTGAGCATTGGACATGGCGGGTTAATCTCACTTCGCTTCCGACAGAATCAATTGTAATCGTCCCCAAAAACTTTGAAATCGGTTCCCATTGAGTGGATTTAGTGTTTAGTCTGTGTTAGTTTTAAAGGTTTTTTCCTGTTCACGGCGGTAGGGAGGCCGGATGGGCCCGAATGGTCAGCGACGTTTTTTTTGCTATCCGTTAAAGTTTTTTGAATAGTGTTCATATTTGTTGTTTCCGCTCCCCTCGGAGGGTGATGAATTCGTCAGTCCCTTTTTATTAAGGCACCCTATAAATACAAATGTTGGTCGATTATCGTCCTATCTCTATCATTGTAGTTTTCTCTAAAGTTTTTGAAATCCTGTTAAAAGAGAGGCTATATAAATTTTTTGAAGTAAATCAATTACTTGACTCTGCCCAGTTGATTGTATTTTAATGATTTTTAATTTGTTGTCCTTTTATTGTGAAGTTTATTTAGTATATTATGAAGTTATATTTGTAATTTTATGTTAGCATATACTTACATATATTCAATTTATTTTTTTTCCCTCTATCAGTTGGCCCAGCCGAGAGCAAAACGTATTCTCTCTCTCTCTCTCTCTCTCTCTCTCTCTCTCTCTCTCTCTCTCTCTCTCTCTCTCATTCTCTCTCTCTCTCTCTCTCTCTCTCTCTCTCATTCTCTGCCCCAAAAAATGTTGAGCTTGAGGGGGGGAGGGGAGAAAAAACAGAATTTCTGGAAAATTGCACTACAAAAATCCACTAAGAAATACATAGTTTAAATTTTAACTATTTAAATTTTTAATTGTTTTACAAAGTGTAAGGGCGTTTCAATAGTTAACTCCAAATAAAAACTATAGAAGGCCATGTAAGAGATAAATAGTATTATTGGGCCTGATATCTACTGTAGAAGCTGTTGAGTGAGTCACCTGGCAACATAAAAGGTAGTTAAAATTGACAATTTTGTGATTCGCCGTCGTAGAGAATGTTCGAGAAAATCAACCCGCAGCGTATATTTATTTAAAAACGGCGGAAACAGAACGACTGTGTCTGGATGCATCTTAACATATACAATATCAAAAAGTCAAACGCAAGTTAGTATGTGGAATTTAGGGGCATGGACGGAATATCATTCTTCGTTATGTACGAATCACAACCACCTGAGGTGCATCAGTTTTACCATAGTTACGGTCGCTATTATTATTTAAATAATATAACATCATTAAGTGTTCCATACAATTATGTTTGTTTTAATTTGTACCAAACCGAATATTTTGTTTAAATAATTTCTACCCCTCAAAAAAATGGAAACGTGCAAAAATATGGACACTCGGAAAATCTCTACCTCTACTGACTGGAAAATGTTTGATTTTTGTGAAAAAAAGCTCCCCCGGGTCGAGTGGTCTTGTAGATATTGCCTGTCACCTTCTGTACAGGGTGGCCGCATCAGTGTACAAGTTACTATTCGTCACCAAGACTTGCGTTAAAAAAATGTATTACCAAATTGATGAAAAGAAAGTGGACCAATTTGGTTCTTAAGATCAGATGAACATAAATCGAGCAACAAATTCTTTTTTCAACCAGACCAAGTTTGTTTTTGTTAAAAAAATATTGAATCACCCCCACCATTTTATATTAATACCTAGGTGAATAAGCCTTAAACGAAAAACAATTATTATTAGGTGAATTTCTGCGAAACATCATTTCATTCAACACCTGCAAAATGTTCGAAATTGATAAAAAACGAATAAAGAAAACATGTTATAATTTTTATATCTTTCTTAATACGTTGTTGGCGATAATTTGCTTTGGATTTTGGTGAACCGAAAATCTTCGTTTTTATCTTTTTACTGAACAAAGAAACACTGATCTTTTTCTATCATCGAATTTTTGCGTTTATTGAGCAAAAATTTTATACAATTCACTTTTTTCCTATGACGCGCATTTCCCAGGTAATGCATACACTTTATTGTTTCTCTCCATGTATTTGTATTACAGATTCGAATTCATATCTATGAGGCAAAAGAGGTTTTATGCAAATGCATACGAAACTAAGTGCGTGCTGCATAAGATAAAAAGCAAAGGAAAAAGTAAATTAAGTTCAACTACCGAGTCGAAAGCGAAAATGAATCGTCGATATTTAAATTGGTAATTGGGCAATTAACATTTTTCATTTCGATACTGGAGCTACCAGATGCTATTTAAATCAATTAAAATAAATATTCGGAACTTTGTTCGTAATACCTTTTTATCAAATAAGTAAACATTGCTTACGAAAAAGCGCTTCTATCTTCTATCTATACTTTGAATACCATTTTATCTATGTTAATATATATTTATTGAGCAGTTTAAATTTTGAAGTTAGCTGCGCAAGTCCTAATAAAATTCAAACACAAAACCACATTAAAGTTTGGAATGTAAAATTAAACACGTATTCTAAGGTTTTATGGCAGATTTGAATATTATCAAAAATTATAAATAACTTGTTAACATCTACCTAGGCTCTGTATATATCTCACTATATTACAGGTTTACTAAAAGTTCCATTTTATTAAAATTGAAAAACTCTTTTTTTATTTATGGTTAGAGATTCCTCATTCAAATAAAAGAAAGACAGTTTATATAAACGTATGAAATGCTTAGTGTATATGTCCATAAACGTGGTGTGAAATATTAAAAACAAAACAGCTTTTTTATAATATGTTTTACATTTTTTGAAAGATTTTGTTAAAATTTTGCAATGTCATCGATGATTTGCTATTATCTGTTTGGTGTTCGATTTGTTAAGCACCTGACTTGAAAAGACATTTCAAAACCACTAATGTACTCATTGATAACTAACTAGTCAAAACTAACTACAAAAAAGGAGTCAGAGTTCTCACTTTGTCTAATCTTTCGTCACTTCCATATTTCCTTTTCCGTTCTTTAGGAATTAGGTTCAAACCAGTACCGAATTCGAAAATCTTACCCTCCATAAAGCAAGTATACTGATTTTGAATTTGTTGTAATGTTTCGAAAGAAAGTTGTTATTGATTTCGCGTAGACCTGACAACGTTGCATTTCTAAAAATATATTTAAAATTTTACATGTTATGATCACCTACCAAACTTCGTGCAGTATTCTTATCTATTTACAGGACATTCAATATGGACCACTTTGTAGGTATATTTTGCAAACTGTTTCTTTCGCATTTACGATCTCAGTGAAGAAACTTTCTTCTTCGTAAAAAAAATTGTATGAAATCAACACACAATCACGCATTACCCGCCTAACCATAAAATTGGCCACCCTAGGATAAGAACAAATTAAGTTTCTTTTATGGACCTCTGGCGAAAAAATGACTTCGAATTTATAATATATTTAGAATATTCCCGCTGCATTTCCGCTTTTCTGTAAAAGAAAGGATTTCCAAAGCAAATTGTTTCGATTCCTCGGGACAAATTTCCTATCGCCGTAGCATGTGACGTTGTCAGATTTCCTATTAGGTTGCAAATACGTAAATATGTAAGTATAGCTCATAGGTATTTTGCAATGTGCATGTCCATGTTTACTCATACTAACAATATTACATTTAATTATACCCAAGATTTGTTCATCTAAAAAAAATATTTTAATTGTTTTATTTGTAAGTAAAGTTGTACTACGAACATGACTTAATATGTTCTTAACAGAAGATAAGTCTTATGTCAAATGAAATAAATAAATAAGACCTCGTTCACTTACAAAAAATTAAATTTACATATTTTAAAGCGGCGATGTTCAAGCACAAACGACAACGTTGCATATATCCGGCATGGCAAACCTTTGCTACTCTTAACAATTTAGACATATCATTTAAACGCTTAGATCTGTTGGCATGTTATTTAAAGTCAGCACCGATTATGGGGATATCTCTATATTGTAACCGATTTCCTTTCCCACCTCAATGCCAGAGGGCGCATCGTGAAACGGTCGTTTCTTGAAAAACGGATTTGTCTTTATATCAATGATGTATATTTTACAATATGGGGGCCAATGAGGCAATTGGAAACGCTTTTGGATATCCGATTGATATGATTGATTATTTCTGTTATTTCTCTGCTTGAGCCAGAATTTATGGAAGTGCTACTTTGTTATTTTCCAATTGTTGTTCTTCAATAAATTAAATGATGGTGTAACAATGATTTTGGAACAAGTAATATCAGCTGTCTATAGTATATTATGAAACAATGGAGTGACTAAGGACGTCAATGTCAACGAATTCACGATCTAAAGTAAAACTTGCGCACCGTTGATCAGTGCATAATTGGGTATTTTAAGATCTAATTTTGACTAGTTTTATTTTTCTTATATTGATTATAATTAACACAACTCGCTAATCCGTATATGAAATTAAGTTTAACCACTGCAATATATTAAACTGGTATAGAGCGTCTTATTTTAGTCAAAAGTGTAAAAATGATAATGTTTGATGGGAAGCGGTTTAAGTATTATACTACTTAATTACTTTTTATTACGCAGTACCTAATTAGTATTGTTTTACTGACTTAGTGGCAATTTGATAAAATTTAATGTTTTTGTACATTACGCA